AACAATAAAAGATCGAAAGCAATTCTTTTCGAAAGGAAAAAAAATATTTCTGCTTTATTTCTTGATTATTACTTTTTCATAAATAAATAAATTAATAAATGTATCATCGTGAGAGAAAGTCGATAAAATAATAAAAAAAAAAAAAATTTTAATCATTTAATATATTATAAAATAAATAATTTTAAAATATTTTTAATAAATAAAAAAAAAAAAAAAAAAAAAAAAAAAAAAAAAAAAAAAAAAAAAAAAAAAAAAAAATATATAAAATATATAATTTTAAGAAATTATCGAACTTAGATAAATGAATGTGGAATTAACAATAAAAGATCAAAAGCAATTTTTTTCGAAAGGAAAAAAAACATTTCTGCTTTATTTCTTGATTATTACTTTTCTCATAAATAAATAAATTAATAAATGTATCGTGAGGCAGAAAGCTCGATCAAAGAGTCGAATTACTTACATGTAACTTAAAAAAAAACAAAGCTCTTTTGGAGAGAGTCTCTAAATCATGTTTTAAAAATTTACAGAATGTATCTAATCGATCTAGCCCTACAACCTTTGAATTATAATGATGCTCCAAAAATAGATCTCGAATTTGCTCGTACCTAATCAAGTATACATCAAAGCGTGACGCCTATGAAATTTTCTTAAAGTGCTTTTAAAGGGTAAAATGGCATATCGCTTGACATTTTGTCAGAAAATTAATGTGCAACAATCGTGCAGGTATCCCACACACGTTCATTAGCATGCATGCTTTCGTATCTACATGTAATCTGATCCGTTAACGCCCGAAACTTTTACCTGCATTCAGAATGCGGCATGAGAAGCGCAAGGGGATAGGTAGCTTTATGCACCTCCGGAGGAAGAAAAGTAGGGGAGAAGAGGGGGATGCAATAGGGTCGTCCAGTGTCATTCGTCGGTCGACCCAATTGCGGGTCAAAGTTCCAGTTTCTCGCCGGGCGTGCATGGAACGAGAGAGAACTGGTTCGTCACTATGACGACGTGACGTAACGATCGCGTCATCAACGAGGTGAAACGGGTGAACCGGGAGGTCGACGAACCCTCTGGTTTCAGTCAGCGTTTCGTTCTGGCCAGCCGGCTAGACGCGACTGGCTGACTGGGCACCCCTGAAGGGGTGAATGGGGGGGGGGCTCCTCTCCTTCGTTCCTCTTTCTCTCTCTCCTTCCATTGTACTCGATACGATCGACCTGAGCTCGACGTCCTTGTCGTGACGTTGGCGAAACGTATTCATATCCAGCACAGCTGCAATCTAAGCTGTGCTTGTATCTTTCATTAAACGCGACCGGAATCTCGGATTTAATTAATATCAAATAATAGATAATCTATTAGCAAAGATTGGGGAGGTAAATACGAAAGGTGATGATTTGTCAAATTTGCAGAGTAAACATCTTTTTTACAAAAGAATCCCATGTTTTCGAAAAATTTGAAAAATCAAAGTTAGATAAATTTTTCCTTTCTTCTTAAGTCAGGTTAGGTTAGGTAATAATAAGAAGGTTTGATAAGAAGAAAAAAATTTTTTACAAAAAATCCCATGTTTTCGAAAAATTTGAAAAATCAAAGTTAGGTCAGTTTTTCCTTAAATCGAGGTTAAGTAAAGGGAAAGAAGAAGGTTAGAAAAGAAAAAAATTTCTTTACCAAAAATCCCATATTTTCGAAAAATTTGAAAAATCGAAGTTAGGTCAGTTTTTCCTTTCTGCTTAAGTCAGATTAGGTTAGGTAAGAATAAGAAGGTTAGGTAAGAAGAAAAAATTACGATCATGAAAGGAAAGGAAGGTCCAGACAATTGAGAATTATCGCGCGAAGTTACTGACATTTACGTGTAAAAAAAAAAAGAATGACGATTCGCGCGAAATGGCAGGTCGACACTGAGATACTTGACGCACGTACGTATAAGGGATGAGATTCGGGATCGACCGCGATAAAGGGTCGAAGGCTACAGGATTAAGCCCCTGATCGAGTTCGTTCCGCGGCGGAATTGCCGTGGCGACCGGAACTGGGACGCGTTGTCAGTGGCCTTCTCAATGACGTGAATGACGTCACTACGCCAATGGAAACTGGGCCAAAGACATAGCGTAGGGGAAAGAGGAAGCGAAGGATCGGACAATCCGACGTAGAGTTTGCGTCGGAAGCTGCATCTATTTGGAGCAAACTATGCGCGCCTCGTGTCCTTTTAGTCAAAAGAAGCGATCCTGGTATTTTGTGGAGGACCAATGGAGCACTCGATTATCCTTTTTCTCTCGATGAAGAATTTCGGGAGCTTTAGAATGTTACAGTTCAGGCCGAGAAATACTTGGAGATATCATAATCGAAGTAAATTGAAATTACATATTTATTACTATCAAAATAAATCTTAAAGTTTGATTATTTCGCTGATCGTGTTTCTACTCGTAATACTACAATAATGTTAGATTGAGTTTGCCGATGGTAATATTTGATGACGATAATACAAACCCGTTTTATTGAATCTGTCCGTAATCGTCCTAATACGACGGAGAAAAAGATAAAAGAAGCTTATTGTTATCTTGGAGTAAAATTCAAGATGGATAAAAAAGTTTTCACACCTTTTTAAAACATTTATACACATTAACCACACATAGAAAAAATGATGAAATAAAATTAGAAAAATTAATATATTAATTAATTTCGACTGACTTGGAACGAACGATAATCAGAATTTTTTATTAATTTGGGGATTACTCACCATTAAATAAAAAACGTGTGAGGGCTATTTTTAAATGACAAAGGAAAATAGATAATGAGGGAAAATGAACGAAGAAAAGAGATGCGAGAGAATCATTGAATGAACTATGATATTTCATGGCAGTGTGTGTGTGTGTGTGTGTGTGTGTGTGTGTGTGTGTGTGTGTGTGTGTGTCTGCAGCGATTTGCCTTGTCGAAGACTCGTGAATGGGGCTACCGCGCACATCTGACGTCATACTGAGGTGCAAACCCCTGTAACTGGGTCAGTCCTTAGTTCTGTCATGACCATGGATAAAAGCACGTAACTGACAAGTACCTGCGTGCGTGTTCTCTCTTTCTCTCTCTCTCTCTCTCTCTCTCTCTCTCTCTCTCTCCCCCCCCCCTCTCTCTCTTCCTGTTTTCTTAGAAATATTGTCTCTGATTGGATATATATGTGCTGCAACCCTTAGAATTCTGACAGGCGCGACATAGATTATTGTTGACGCACACCACGTATCCTTCGGAAAAGACAACCTTCTGCTGAGAATATGAATGAAGGGAAGCGAAATGATTTCGATTTAACGATACACTTTTACGAAATAATACTCGCATTTTATATATCTTCCTGGAGTCTATAAGATTTCTTATACGAGCGTTTATGTCGTAAAAAAATTATATATATATATATATATATATATATATATATATATATATAAAATTAATATAATTAATAAAATAAAATTATATATATAAATAAAATTAAATAAAATTATGTAAAATATTATATATATGTGTGTGTATATATATATGTATATATGTATATTACAAATATAAATATAAATATAAATATAAATTTTATGTAATTTTATTTAATTTTATTTATATATATAATTTTATTTTATTAATTATATTGATATATATATATATATATATATATATATACATTACATATTACATATATAAAAATTGTGTAAAAATTGTAAGATATTGAATACATTGTTCTTCAAAAATGAAAAATTGTGCGTTTTTTCTTGTAAGTTTATTACTTTAATTGTATCATTTCCAATTTTATTTTAATGATATTTAGCATTTTATCTTTTTCTATTAATTCTATTAAATCTTAAATCATTAAATACATAGTGTATTATTTTTATATATTTAATGCGGATTAAAGAAAAAAATATTTCAATAGTATTTAGAAAATCCATTCATCCATATATAAACATAAAGCAAATGTTATAACATTGTATTTTATTAAATAATACGATAAAATATTTAAAATAAAATATATCAAATAAAATAAAACGTGTTTAAGAAATTTAATTTGTAATCTTTGAAGGCTACTTTGAGGAAAAAAATCGTGTTGAGAGTAGAGATAATATTATGGTAAAGAAAAATATATATTGGAGATATCCTTGAACTTCAGAATTCTAAATTCTTATTCATGCATCCTTAATTAATGTCGCGATTGGAGGGAGGAAAAAAAGGAAGAACGATTTTAGAATGAAAAACGTTTATTTGAATCGTTAATTATGTCGATATAGACAAAACGATATACAAAACATTCAGTCCTGAGTATAATTGATCTTCTTCCCTATCTTTTCGTTAGCGACATTCTCTCGTACGGCGATCATTCTATAGGATTGCATCCATCATACTTATACATATGTAACGATCCGAACGTGACGGATATGACTTTACCTTTTTTTTCGACTCTCTCTCTTTCTCTCTCTCTCTCTCTTTCTCGCATTTTCGCCAATTGATAACACCTAATCGTACAGTCACATATAGGAAGTATCTACAAGGCACTCTAGAAATGAATCGCACAGACAAATGGGAATTTTCGCAGACTCTGCCATATTTTTTCTGTGTCTCTTTTTCCTCTTGCAAATCACGAATTTTTTTGTGAATATAATTTTTAATTCCTTTGTTTTTTTTAATTTTTAAGTTTTTTTTTTAATTAATTAATCAGTATCCGCCGGTCGTGAAAGATTTTCTCGACTCACACTTGCACATTCCATAAACAACAATAATTACATGCGAAAGGATTACGTCAGCCAATTAGTTAGATCAGCCCTCGGCCGCATTACGTAACGATTGTCACGGAAAGAATTAATCGCGATCAGTATTAACGAGACATTGAATCTTCGACGTACACATATTTTTGACAAATTAAAAATGAAATAATCCAAAATTATTTTTAACTAGATTAAACTTCAATAATGTGTTTGTGTGTGTGAAAATAATAAATTCTATATAAATTTAAACTTAATTATTTATTTATTTTTATTTTTGTCTGTATTCAATAATTAATATTTCGGATTTTCAAAGATTTGAATAAATAGATCTAACGAGTAATCGAAGCCAATTGTGCTCGTTAATACTTTTAAAAATTACGCACGATTCTAATAAACAGCGAGTCAATGATCATATGTTTCGCTTATGATTTTCTATGCAGGACATAGTGAGAGAGCCATCGATTTTAATTTTTACACGATGTATGAATGCACATATTCTCGACACAAACAATATTGATACTTGTTCCTTAATACTGCACTATATGAACGATTTGTTCTTTTTATAGGGATAGGGTCGCATGCGACAAAAACGCCCTGCAGCTGATATTTTTACGGCGCAAAAATTGTTTTTTGTGATGATTCGAGCTATCCTATGAGACATTAAGGGCAGTTTCTTCATTTTTGGTCTGAAATAATGTTTCGAGACATCAATCTTAGCTTCTTAATTATTTAATAACTCAATACTTTTATTTAAATTACTTAATGTTTTCGCTATTAATTAGATGTTTTATTTTAAATGGAATTTGTTGTATTATTAGAGTAAAAAGTATAACGGGGCACAAATTACTTTTAGAACGACAAAAGAAAATCTATTTTGGAAATCCTCCATAAAATATGCATGATTTTATTTGAAACTCGTTTGATATCAGAGAGATTTATTTATGCTCTCTCTATGCGCGTCGATATAATTGACTTCTATCATTCTATTCTAACGGATCCTGTCTCTTTAGTGCCGATAAAAATAGTAACGTGTCGTTGGCGACGGATAAACGAGAAATATAAATCAAGGAGTAAAATCGCTGATCATTCATTCGATCTTCGAATACATGTACTACTCTCGCCGCAACATTTAATTAAAGTCTTAGAGACCCGTTAGAATGCACCTGAGAGTCGTATCAAATAATTGAACATCCTTTTTGCTATATTTCTCTCTCTTTTTTGCTATATTTCTCTCTCTTCTCTTTCTTTTCCTCTCTTAATAATATTATCACTTAATAATATCATCACTACGAGAGTGGTTTGAAAAATCCGTGCAAAGTCAAAGAAATGGCATCACTGATGTGCATCGAAGTTATTTTCAGTTAGTAGTATCTCTTGGAAGAACACACATCAAGTTTCAGCCAGATCGGTCTATTTCTCTGTGTTTCTCTGCGTTTGTTGAATCAAAGAAGTCGAGTGATTTCCAAAAAAAATGGATAAGAGAGAATTTAGCCGCAAAATTGATTAAGGTTCCAACTCCTCGTTCCGTATCCCCCCTATTCTTCTACATTTGGCTCCCTCGAATTACTACTTGTTTCCCGTTATTAAGAAAATGGCTGGCGGAAAGGAGATTTTATTCATACGAGGAAGTGATTGCGGTAACGATAGCCTTTTGCAGAGTTGGACCTGTTATTCGGAAAGGATCAACAAACTAAAGCAGCGTTGGACGAAGTGTATAAGCCTTAAAGGAGACTACGTTGAAAAATAAAAAAGATTTAGCCCAAAAAATTAAGCAGTTTTCATTTTTGCACGGACTTTTCAAACCACTCGTGTTATTATTATTATATTATAATTTGTTACATTTTTCGTTAGAGTCATTCGTCTCGAAATGATTTCCGAGTAAACTATTTTAATGGAAGTTGCAGTAAGGATAAGTAGCATAAGATTGAAGTGAAATCCTATATAGTTTTGCTGATAAATGACAGATTAAACACATTAAATCTCTCAGTACATTAAATCTATCAGTCTGCATACTCGTACTCTAAGTATCCTCCATACTCAGGGAACATTAGTCCGACTCGAAAAAGGTATCATTAATCAGTTAAAATGTTACTATAATTATACGTGTGCATATATGTGAGACAATGAAAAGTATCTTGGCTTTTTAAACATCCTACAACATTTGATACAGCAAAGATTTCGGTATAAAGATGTTGCAAAAGTATCAGAGTGTCCTCGCGCAAATGATCCTCAATATATGGAGGTTTCTTTCTGTAATCCTTCGATTCCCAACTAATAATATAATGGACGATAATAAATAGTACTGAATGCTGAGTGCAATAGTTCCTTTTATGCTCACTATTTCCTGATTCGAATAACTTTGCGCTCCTAGTATTGAGGATCATCTGTACTTAACGTACTCATACGCGTGTTTATTTAATTCAATTATCCTATCCCTTGAATTTGACATTTTTTTGTGCTTTCTCATCTTCTGTCTCGACGACCGACTGATCTGATCGAGCCGTCATTATGTTTGACTTAGATTACTTGAGAACAAAAGCATCTGATTGAAGAGAGAGCGTCTCTTAATTCGTTGATCACGAATGATGAATTAGAAAAGAGACGTGAAACTTTAGCAAGAGTCCGCGCGTTGCATACGAAAATTCGTAAAAACTGTTGACAAAGTACGCAATGAAGAGATATGTTATCGCAAAGAGGCGATCGAGGCGATCGCGACAATCGATCGCATATATTATGCTTAACCTTCTCCTCCTGCTTTCTTCCCTGGCAGACTGTCTTGGTCCTGTAGTTTTCCCAATGCTTCTCGATCTATCGATAGAGCTCGACCAGATCCTGACAGGAGCAAGCCTTCATCATCTGCTATTGAAGACCTGAGTTTCGGGGGACCCTCTGAGTCGGCAAACCGGACAATCCACGGACATACATATAGGGTACCGGGCTGCGCAGGATTCTCTTGGGGCTCTTCTTGGCGTGCTTCTTCTCCTTGTTCCACTTGGACGAGGTGATCTTGAGACTCTGGAACGCCCGGCGCAGAGTCTCTGTCGTAGAAGGTCTGAGAGAATCGCTGTCGCTGCTGCTGTGAGCGTCCGAGGGGCTGGACGAGTAGGACGAGGGTGAAACACCACCGCGGGAGAGACTCTTGACGTCTTCTGGGCTCAGAGTGCGTTCCGACGATCTTTGCACGCTGCTACTGAGCCGCTCCTGGGACCGGGTCGCTCGTTCCCGCAGTCGTTCCAAGTTCCAGTGAGTTCTAGGAGATCGGTTGGACCTGCACAGACGTTCACCGCTGCCGTGACGAAATAGACGTTTGCCACTTCCGGTGCTACCGCTGCTGCTGCTGCAGCCGCTGTCGGTGCTGCACTCGTCGTCGCCGATCTCGCCCACGGGCGTCCTACCCCGATGATGGTGATAGTGATGCCGATGGTGATGCTGAGATCGATGATCGCTTAGATCGGTCAGTTGCGTAGAGTCCTCCATGTCGCTGGACATTTCTGTCCTGTCACTTGGGGTCGCGCTTTCACGCGTCAGAGATCTCGCACTATCCCAAGGAATAAATGGGATTAGCAGGTGTTATCGCGTTCGCAGTCAAGTGATTTCACGCACAGAGAAAACACACTTGTGACGAGCTTCTGAAGTTCTCGATGCAACTTGTTCGCTGTATTTATCTTTCGTGTTTGTTCAATTGATCGCTTGATCCGCTCTTTCTCGGCAAGACAAGGCTCACCTTGAAATTACGAGGTGAAACTGAACCCCATACACCCGACGCGCGGTCTTTTATAGAGGGTAGGTGAACACGGGTATGAGCGCATGCCCCGGCGTCCACGTGAGAGTACGACCACCGAGGGTGTCGAGAGGGTATCGGAAACCTTGTGGAGTTGCAGCTGCACGCCAGCAATCGAAACGGGAGAATGGAAGACTTTGATTCAAAGAATCTACGTCAATAGTTAAAAAAGACAGTAACGATCAACGTGACTCGGATAATTCTAGATATTCGATCTCGCACGATAACGATTAAATTTAGAGGGTGTAATTAAGAGAAACAACTACATATTTTATTTCAGTGAGTTTTTTGCATAACATTTTAAAAATTTATCAGTAAATTATAAAATTTTAAAATATTAAAATTTTAAAATTATAACATTTTATTAATAAATAAAATTTTAAAATTATAAAATTTTATTAATAAATTAATTGAAAAATAAATTATTAGACATGTGTCGAGCAAACTATTATTAAACTAATTTTAAAACACTACCATTTCTATTATATTGTTTAAGTTGAATCGTTATCGTGAAAGGTCAGATTATTTAAGATTACTGGGAATTATATGTTTATCTCTTTTACTCTGTTATCTTTCTATTCTCCAGTAATAACATAATATGTCTAATATATATATAATTTAGTAAAAATTAAACATATTTTTTTGTAATATTATATATATTATATTTATTATTTATTAAATAAATAAATTTTTTCGTTTGCGAGTTTGATAAATTATCGAACTTATTGTTAGTCTTTTAGTGATATTATCTATCACTTATAATTACATGACGTAATGTCGCAGTATTTCATTTCGCAGGATTCCAATTATAACGTCAAATACAATCGATACATGAGTATCAGATAACAGCCCGTAACCGATATCCAGAGATATGATTTTAATTTGGTACTCTTGGGATGCTGCTTCTCTCTCTCTCTCTCTCTCTCTCTCTCTCTCTCTCTCTCTCTCTCTCTCTCTCTCTCTCTCTCTCTCTCTCTCTCTCTCTCTCTCTCTCTCCGTTCATGATGTAGGTTTTGGAAACTAGTTATGCCACGGTCATTGAACTTACCCTGCCGATCGATGTCAAAGGGTAGATGTACCCGAGAACTGTACTTTGGGAAATCAATACGTGCAGTGCCAATTATTCAGCAGCCAAAAGCATTTGCATCGTCAACATCGAGAGAATCGGGAGAAATTAATCCTAATTATTACGTAAATCGGATAATGTCGGAAATAATTTAATGTCTTTTTCTTAAATCTCTAGAAAATCTTTAGAATTGTTGTTATATTCATTTATCTCTCGGATATGTCACTTAAAGTCTCTCTGAACTTTACATGTACGAAATAATAAATAATAAGATATATATGTATATATATTATACAATATTTCGTCTTCGTAGAAACAAATTAATTAATTGTAGAAAAAATAATAAGTAAAAATGAATGTGTCACGAATTAACTTTTATGTTTTATAGCGTGTAAAAAAGTGTTTCAATTTTCGAGATCGACGATTCATCAAACTCGCGAAAAAAAAAATTTACTCACTCAAGTAATTGATGCTTTTATTTTCTTGATTTCATTTTTTGACCACGACATGATGAATCGCGTGCTCAATTTAGCCGAGAACTTTGATCTAAATCTGACTTATTTATGTCATTGAAAGTTCTATAATTATACATGCTGCAATCGGGACGAACGGACGATTTTCTAGACAACGACGTAGTCTCTGTAGTCGTAAAATAATTGCAGGTACAATAATAGCCAATAATCATGTTATGAGCTTGATATTTAAATTATGCGTAATCAAAATCAGCTAATACTCTGACGCTGAATTCATTTAATTCACATGGATGAAAACGTGCGGCATGCATATGTGTGCGTGTGTGTTCGTGTGATTAGAAAACCGATACTTTTTTCATCGTATTAAGAGATCCATTATTATCATTATCCCACATCAGCCTTGTTAATTATATATTTATTACATTATTATTATTTCTAATTATTATTATAATATTATTTATTATTATTTTATTATTATTTATTATTATTTATTTTATTATTATTTTATAATATTATTTATTATTATTATTATTATTATTATTATTTTATAATATTATTTATTATTATTATTATTATAATATTATTTATTATTATTTTATTATTATTTATTATTATTTATTTTATTATTATTTTATAATATTATTTATTATTATTATTATTTATTATTATTATTTATTATTATTATTTATAATTATGATTTTATAATATTATTATATTTATTTATATTGATGATATTACAATTATTATATTTGATATAGTTAAATAAAATATTTAATAGCGTATAGTAGGAAAGAACAGCTGGGAAAACGCTTGCTTTGATTAAAAATTGTTCCGCTCATGACAAAATAAAAATAAACACTTTTCTCTCACGTCTCATTTAATTTTATACAAAGTACACCTTTGTAAAAAAGTTTCTTTATTTTTCAATAAAGGAAAAGTTGAGATTTCAGGTCATTCGATTTAATTCATTTGGCTCTCATATAGCTCTCTGTTTTTTTCATATGTGAAGATACATGTCACAATTTGGTAATTACACCCACATATCGCGAGAGACGAATAGCCGAATAATATCGAGTCAAACAAAATGGGCCGACATATCTGAATCGCTTTTTTCGCCTGATATCAACCTTTGCCCTGATTCGCAATTTATATTATTTATATATTTTTTTATCTTTTGTTGACGATGCGTCAGTTAGAACATTAAAAGAAATGTAGAAATTAAAAAAATATCTCAAGAATATGAATGCAAAGTTTATCTGGAAAACCTGAGAATACTGATCATTACCGAGTTATATGATCTCCGAAGGGTGGAAGCTATAGAGCACGTGAACGCAACGTGAGCTCGATTTATAGATTTTAATTCACCTTATGATCTTATTCCGATAAAGATTGCTGCTTCAAACTGCGAAATTTGTATTATTGTATATAATATATTGATTACGTTGTTATAAATATCCAGATAAAATTGTTTTTAATCCAATTTTCACAATTCTATTTCGAAAATTAGCTTGAATTAACGCCAGTTGTATAAGATAATTGGATGAGAAAATTCGTGGAGTAAATTAACGTGATCATTAAGAGAGCTTTTTGCGCTTACATGTCACGTTTCGATCTCCCTATTACAGTCTTTGTCTATTCGCGTGAAGCTGAGGACGCACTTAGATTTAAATGCATAACCATAATTCAATTAGACGTCATAATTCAATTTGATAACTAGGTTTCTCGGCTGACTTTTATTCATGACTTTTATTCAGAAAAATTTCAATAATCCAGAAATTCTTCAATTTTATTCAATTTTTCTGTATAAATCGATTTCCTTCTGCCTTTCTTTATGCGTTTGCTAAAATGCAAATTATTGTGATAAATATAATTCTAAGTCAATAAATATAAATATAATTCTAAGTCAATAATTAATAAGTAATATAATTCTAACATCAAGAAATGGTTTCATTTTTTATCTAGAGCTTCTTCAATTTGTATTTTTGTTTATTTTATGATCTCTAAAATGTCCTAAATTCTTTCTCAACATTACGAGTGTGACACTCTCATTGATAAGAGATAATCAAATCCGTTGAGCAATTTTTTTCATGGTAGAAGACCGATATCTGTGTCGCATTGTTTACTCCTTTTGTCGCGCAAAACAGGAAGTGAGGATAGAACCAGAATGGTATCACCGGATAATTGATGTAATGCGGTTGTATATATCATCTTGTCCTTATGCATCAAAGACTAATATTACTATCGAGGGTTTGCATAATTGCACGCAGATTATAACGACAAAAATTCAGGTTACGCAATGTGATGGGACAATGCTAATCACGAATGCGCGCAAATAAACGAATATTATTATTGCTTATATGAAGAAGCTCAGGTGTCTCTTCCTCCAATCGACTTCGTTAAAAAGTATTTTTATAATTTGTTAATTGTTTAAAAAATTTAATAAAAATAGAGAAATATATATTGTGAATATTTAATTAAGAGATTATGCTTATAAGATTATCAATGGAAAGTATTAATGTTAGGTGAATAATTAGAAATCTTTAAATTTTTTTATTAATCCTTTTTGCGTCAACCCTCACTCAGTGACTTTTTTCTTTGGTTTTTCATTTTTTCAACTATTTTTCTTTAACTTTAAACCGGATCTTTTTGTTTCTATGAGACCCCTAGAACATTAATAAGTGTAAAAAAAATGTAAAGTACTTCAATTCTTAATTGCAAAAATATAAAAAATATAGAAATAAATAGTTAAAATTAGTACATTTTCGTGGAAAAATGCATTTTCCATTTTTCAAACTAATCTATAATTATATCTATAATTATGAAAATTTTTCTACAAACATAGTACATTCTAATCTAAAGTATTTTTCAGAACGTTTGAAGAATTTTCCGCTGTGTTATTTTTGTTACTAATTCTATATAACAAATACGATATTTTCTGTACTAAATCCAAATTAACAAATGTATTTTTTTAAATTTTTTCTGTGAGAGTTTTTTGAGTTATAAAATCTTAATTTGAAGAAAAAATTTACAATTTTTTAAATTTATAATTTTCTGCCTTATTAGAAGATCCCCCTCTTGAATTTTTTGAAATTGAAAATTTAACATCAGATTTGGATTCAGCAACAAAAATCCCGGAAAACGAATTTGTAAAAATATAACTTTTGAATATAAAGAAAAATATATAGCTGAATTAATCTCGATCAATATTGTACGTCATATAAAATTTCGCATCTTTATTTAATGTTATTATTTATCATATATTCATTTTTATCTTGTTCTTATTGTTTGCTCGTAAAATTTCAAATTTATAAATTTTATAATTCGTTCTTTTTTTTCTTTTTTTTTAATACACATATCATCGACTTTGAAATATAATTTATAAATTATTACACACGCGTATGAATAAAATATCTTTACTCGATATTATGTAGATAAATGGAATAATCAAATTTGCACTTGTAACTGCCATGATGCAACAGATTGATGCAACAGAGTATGATAACGCGTGTATGATATAAATATCGCTTTATGGTGCAATTCTTCTAATTCGAGAGCACACAAACAATGACGAAATCAGTTACCGAAGGGTGCTTATATTCCGAAAATAGCACCTATTGTTTACATAATTATAAATAGAATGTGCGGATTAATTTAAATAATAGCATTACATATACGCACATAACAGTATCATCGTCTAAATATAACAGAATGGACACATTTATGCACCCATGATTAAGAAAATGGCGCGTGAAAGTAAATATTACACAAGAAATGTTTACACATTATGTAAAGGATATTCTCTTTAACGATTTGTAGAAATGTGTTTAAAATATGCTTTTCGAATAATGCTTTTTTTAATCTTACGATTACATGGAATGAGGCTTCCCAGCAAACACCAAATAACAATTATACAAATTGTTACATGTTACGTAACAGTTACATAACATGTAACAATTATATTAAAAGATAACAATTAACAGTTATATAAATGTTACTTGATGTTTGCTTGGTTGTAATTAATCGAAATTTTTCCACACGCACTTTTCTAACTTATACAAAACATCCTACATTCTTTGACGCAAAATTTTCTGTTTGTCTGAATCTTCGCACGAATCTTGGATGGATTTTTTTCGATCATTAAATTTCCCCTCGTGTACGGCCGTTATCCGCCATAATGAAGCGACGCTTTGCCGTTAATTGGATACCCGGATCGTTGCTTTATCATAAAACCCAATTATTAAAACCCTTCGTTATGTAACAGCTCAACTACTGTATCTTTCTTGTGATACGTAATAACATTCGGTTTTGTTGCACAATATATCAACATATTAATAAAAAAGCGAGAAAATTTCTAATTGGTGGGCTCTTTCATCTTTCTTGGCATAAACAAATAAAATTTTTTTCGCGTATTTATGATCATCACTTTTTATTAATAAATATAAGACGAAGATTATATTGTCAATTTGAAATAATTTTTACTTATAATAGATTACGACAGATTATTTAGTCGAATAACTTTGATACTTTTTCCGAACGCTTTTAATTTACTGATAATGTTTGCTGGTATCTAGATAAAATTATCTAGATAATAATCTAGATAAAGAAATGGATTATCTTTATCTTTAACCAGATGAAGAGATACAAAGTACCTTTACCTTTATCTTAGATGAAAAATATATGTCATCTTATCTAAAAATTGTCTAAGACGTTTTCATTATGCAAAAAAGTTTTCCAGACAAACTTCTAAAAATCTATCTAAAATATCTAAAATATATTTTTCATATTATTATTATTAATATATTATAAATATATTATTATTATATTATTAATATATTATAAATATATTATAAATATAAAATAATAAATAAATATTTATCATATCATTTATATATCTTTTTGCTAATATTTAAATATTCTTTAGGAAAAGAGAAAGAATATGTGTTTATGATTTTAATATCCCATTTATAATCTGCGTCACATTTTTTACAAATATTTATAATCTTCTAAAATAAACAAAAATATCTAAATAATTATCTAGATTATCGCAATAATTATCTCATCTTTCATCTAGTTTAATAAAAGCAAAATCATCTTTGTCTCATCTAAGATAAATTTACGGATTTTTATTTTTATCTTTATCTAGGTAATTTTGAAATTATCTACAGCAAACACTGTTTACTGAGATACCAAAATCGGGATATCGAGACTTTCCTTTACTTTACTGCAAAATTGCAACTAATGTATTTTTATTCCATTTTATAGCGTCTAATTAATATCCGTAATCATGATATGTAAAATTCCGGCGGTTTTGAAAATTTTATTTCCAAGAGGTGAGAGACATATCGATTCTAGAGAGATCGGTTACGCGTGATTACGAATCCACAAAGTGTGTCCTGTTACATAAACGAGATTTCGACGCATATCATTGTGCGTGATATCCTTGGTCGAGTTCTTTCGCGTGTTTAGCATGCGCGAAAACAAGAAGACGTAACCTAAATAAAGAAATATACTATATATCTCGTTTTTTCTCTTACGTATATTCCAACACTCAGGTTGCATCATTAATGACGATAAATGAAGTTCTTAGTCCAATTTATTAATTTATCATTGCGTTTGTGTCACGTTATACTCGGCATAATACTCTAAATAGAACACTCGACAACATTCATTCTAGCCGCGTCCCACGCGTGGGATCAGAAATAATACATTGATGCAACGTGTCCGTGTAACATTATGTGTTTGCCTGCGCAACATCGACGATTTTTTTCAAGATACGTATACATTGTATGTTCAACCTACATTTTCCTGATGTTGTATCGAGTGAAACGATTGAATGAAGAAATGACATTTGTATCGAATCCCAGATGAAACAAAAACATTTCATCGTACTTAAAATTTATGAAAAAAATTTGCGACAGAAAATTCGTATAAGCTCAAAAATTTATTTCAGGATAAAATCAATGGATCTGAATGCTAACCGAATATTGCGGCAATATTACAATGTTGTTGCATCATTGCAGCAATATTGTAGCAATATTACAATGTTGCTGCAACATTGCAATATTCTCTCAATATTACAATATTGCTGCAATATTCTGTGCTGTGTAAGAAACATTTCAATCTATTTCGCTTAAATAAGCGAGAAAGGATGGGTTTTGCTCGAGTAAGAAAAGAAACGCATAGAATTGCTTTCAAGCGACTTTATTGATTCTGAGTCTTGGATGAAAATGCGAAATTATTATCCGAACGGGGGAGATGAGGAGAAAATGAGAAGGATGAATCACGGGATGACTTTTCGAAGAGATTGGGCGGGCGATTCTTGATTTTTTTCATTAATTCGTTTGTGAAGTATCCGTGAAGGTTGGTCCTTGGTCTCTGCGATGCCTGGTCTTCCGATGCCTGTATCTTCAATTAGGCCACATAGGCTTATGCGTAACTCTTACAAGGCGTACGGCAAGGCCGCGTAGCTCCTGTATGCGTACGGCAAGGCCGGGTACGCCGAATACGCGCTGTACGCCGGTAGGCTGTAAGCCAACGGTGCGGAAACGACGGGAGCGCTGTAGGATGTCACAAGAGGGGCGCCGATGATCGCTCCGGGTGCTGGCGCGGGTGCAGGCGCGGGTGCGGGTGCGGGTCCGGGTGCGGGAGCGGCCGCGGCGAATGCCAGGAAGGCGACTAAGCACAACTGTAACATAATATCTCGATGTAAAATCAACGCTCTTGATATCATGATGATAATGATAATGTTGATTTTTTGCCTTTGTGCGATATAAAACCTTCGTATCCTTTGTTTTATAGTAGATACACAAAAAACACAAATTTGTAGATATAGTATAAACAAATCTCTCTCTCTCTCTCTCTCTCTCTCTCTCTCTCTCTCTCTCTCTCTCTCTCTCTCTCTCTCTCTCTCTCTCTTCGTATTTTTCAAATTTAAAAAATCTCAAATATTTCTATTTTTAATCTCGAATATTTTATTTTTCGCAAATATATCAATTTTTTTAATTTTCTGATGGTGATAATAATGGTAATTTCTTGCAATATAAAATCTTAATAAATATTTTGATTTATAATAGATAGACAAAAAATACACACACAAATATGTAAATATTTTAATAATATCAAATATTTTTAATCTCGAATATTTTAATTTTTTCAAATACATTAATTTTTTTAATTTTATGATAGTGATGATAATAATAATTTCTTGCCTTTCTGCGATGTAAAATCTAATATCCTTTGTTTTATAGTAGACACAAAAAACATAAATTTGTAGATACACATAAACAAATATATATATATCTCTCTCTCTCTCATTTAAAATTTAAAAAATTTTTTTAATTAAAAAATCTCAAATATTTCAATTTTTAATCTCGAATACTTCAATTTTCTCAAATATATGAATTTTTTAAATTTAATATTTATAAGTTTAGTATATTCAATTCGTCAAAATTTTATGAAATCTATTCTTTTGGATTTTATTCTTCTTTTTAGGTGTTCAATAAATAAATAATTGGTGAATTGGAAAATTTGTAAAAATTTAACATATTTTAATGGCAAAAAAATAGCGAATATTTATACAAGAGAATTGTTCATGTGCCAAATTGTGTAATAAAAATTAAAAATTAAAAAGTAAAAGCTTGAAAATCCTAAGCGAATACAAATAAAATTTCCGTAAAATTAATCTCGCGTTTTCCAACCTCTATCGCTAAATTGGAAAATGCGTTCAGTTAAACGACGCGACGATCCGAATAAACATACCATTAAAAAACAGACAGCGAGTATACATATATCCGATACTTCTGATATCGACAAAGACAAGAGACGTTGGCGAGAAATACAAACAGAGATGATAGAGAGCCTCTTGATCTCAGTAAAAAAAATCTCAATTGACTTACCAGCTTGAACATCTTGGAGCTCGTGTGTCTGTCTGGTTTGCAGTCAGAGAACGATAATATTCCAAAATACGACGTGCCGCGTCTTATATAGGAGTAAGGAATCCCTGCCGGATATACCGGGAATCTCCAACCTCCCTTCTCCTCTTTTGCACCTTCTTAACGCACCTTCGGGGAGGGCGTCGCCTTGTCTCAAGCGGAAAACGAACACGCGCGTTCTTAGGTCACGATTTCTTCTCTTTTTCCGTTTCTTTCTTCATGCAAACGCCGCCGTCCAATGGAGCTTTGTTGCGCGACCGTGCATTAAACGAGGGTAGGGGAGGACGTGATGATCCCTCAAGGTCGCTCGCATGATGGCCAGGCGTGGTCGGACTACTCTCCTTTTCTGTCTCGAGTACACGTTGCAAAAGTTCCTCGACAGGTAAACCTGTTACATGTTGCATGCGGAAAGCGTGGCTAGGAGAAAATGTACTCAACTAACTTCGTAAAACGATTTATAATTTCCATTTTACGAGAACATAAATCTCGCATTTTTACGAGCAATATTTTACAAATTTGACAGGATCGTATTTTTCAAGAAAAAAATATTTTTTAAATTACAATTAAATTTTAATTTTAATTTTAATTTTAATTATAATTTATTTATTAATAAATTACAATTACAATTATAATTTATTTATTAATAAATTACAATTACCATTTTAATTTATTTATTAATAATGTATCAGGAAAAATTTTTGTTAATGCTGAATATGTGAAAGAGAAAGAAAGAGAGAGAGAGAGAGAGGAGAATTTGTTTATGTATATCTACAAATTTGTTTTTTGTGTATTTATTATGAAATAAAGTATATTAGATTTTACATCGCAGAAAGGCAAAAAATTACTATTATCATCACTATCATAAAATTTAAAAAATTGATGTATTTGAAAAATTTAAAATATTCGAGATTAAAAATATTTGATATTATTAAAATATTTAATTTATCTACATATTTGTGTGTGTATAATTTGTCTATCTATTATAAATCAAAAGATTTATTAAGATTTTATATCGCAAGAAATTACCATTATTATCACCATCAGGAAATTAAAAAAATTGATATATTTGCGAAAATTAAAATATTTGAGATTAAAAATAGAAATATTTGAGATTTTTTAAATTTGAAAAATACAAAGAGAGAGAGAGAGAGAAATATCTATCGCACAGAAGTTTTAAAATTAATGGAGATTAAAGTCCCATTTACAATTTGCGATAACTCATCTTGAATTGCGAAAAATTCAAAGATGAAACAACCGATAATTATTTGCAATAATCAGCTATGATTTTTATCTAATAACGATCTAATTACGGGCCCGATCAATAATTACATTTTAATGACGATCTAGTTATAATGTTTATTTTTACATCCTTGATAAATATGGAGGGTAACTTTTTGTGTTCCAGGAAGAACGCAAAATTATAATACGACTGCCTCTGATTAAAAAACTTACACTTATAAAATTGCATTTGATTTCTATCGCGATGCATCAAATGAAGAATTCCATTTTCTCGAAAAAAATATCCGCAATCCTAGGATATTTCTTCCAACAAAATATCATATTAATTCCGAGCAAGATATCAATAATTTCATTTTTTTCCCAAGTTTTTCAACAACAACAAACAACGATATACGTTATCTGTGATATTATTTATGGACATACTTAATGAAAGGGATCTTTGAAGTTAGTTTAAAACTTGATTAGAAACCATGATAAAATAATCTCTCTCTCAACACCTACGTACGTCGTATTGACTTGATTATTCCAACCAGTCTCGTTTAGTTTTAAACCTTCGATGGATATCGTTCTTGGAACGTTCACCTATGAACTTCAAATTTATTGAGACGCAATTGCGCCGCTCGTCTGGGTGCAGTTTGGGGTAAACATCCCTCGCATCAATATTTCAATGGAAGACGTTCCCCTCATGACATTTACATTGGCTTATGCGATGCTAACAATTTCTTAAGAGAAAAAAGTATCTGTATCTTCATAATGTCAGAAAATAGAGATATGCACGAATAAAGAAATATATTTTTTGCTTTTGAATACATGTATTAAAAAAACAAAGTATATATCTATCGATATAAAGAATTTTTTGAATTTAGAAGGTTTTAATTGCTTAAATGGACAAAAATATTAATAGCAATAATATATGTATTATCACAGGATTTATATAAAATCAAAAAAAAATTTTGATAATTTTATCGATTATTAATATTATTATTCTATAATACTATTATACTATTATTATTCTTATTGACATATAAATTCTAGATTGTAATACTTTTAATAATATCGAGGGGGTAAATTCATCTACACATGACATTTGTCGAGTTAATGACATTTCCTTCGATAATTATCGCCAACACTGTAGCATTTCGCGAATCAATTATTTGTACTACCCTTTAATCTTTAATCCCAGCGACCAGAGATTGCATCATCAAAATGGGGAACAAAGAATTATGTAAAAGTGCGCGATCCAGATGACAGACGCACTTGTTTGCCTTATATCAGTTAAAAATTATTGCATTTTACACAACAACTGTGTTTGCGCGAAAGTTGAAATGATTGTTTACCCTTGATATTTTAATATTGACGGGTAATAATTCAGCTTCGATACCGGAATATCTATGTAAAATGGGATCTATTTCGATTTCCCTAATAACATTAACTTTTCCATTTATTTCGTTCTATTTTCAACTATTCATCCGCCCTCAAGTTTGCTCTTTCTTTACCTTGTTCTATAAATGGTTATAAACTAAATTCTTTACCTTGTTCTATAAATGGCTATAAACTAAATTATCCATTTGCATAAGACTATGATCTAAAAAAAGATTAGATTAAAATTTTTAAATAGACTTGGACGAAAATTTTTGAACTTTTCCTTTTAGCTTTTGTAAAGAAAAAAAGTTAATGAGAATTAAAAAGAAACAATATGTAAATTCATTTCGTATATCATAAATATAATTCATAATAATTTTTAACTTTAAATTTATATAAAAATTCCAAGTCTTATTAGAAAAAAATTTGTCTATTTTTTTTTTAAATCGCAATTTTATATACGTTTCTTTATTAGATTTTAAATTAATCCTTTTTAGAAATATTAAAAATTTGACAACTCTTTTTAAAAATAAAATTTTATTAATTTCTCTTATTTTTCCTCGAAATGTATGCAATACTGAATATCGTGTTTTCGCGATAAAAAATGAAAATTTCTTGAACAGCTTTTTCTTTTAGCTTTTGTAAAGAAAAAAAATTAATGGATTAAAAAGAAGCAATATGTAAATTTATTTTGTATATCATAAATATAATTCATAATAATTTTTAACTTTAAGTTTATATAAAAATTCCAAGTCTTACTAGAAAAAAATTTGCCTATTTTTTTTTTTTTAAATCGCAATTTTATATACGTTTCTTTATTAGATTTTAAATTAATCCTTTTTAGAAATATTAAAAATTTGACAACTCTTTTTAAAAATAAAATTTTATTAATTTCTCTTATTTTTCCTCGAAATGTATGCAATACTGAATATCGTGTTTTCGCGATAAAAAATGAAAATTTCTTGAACAGCTTTTCCCTTTAGCTTTTGTAAAAAAAAAATTAATGGATTAAAAAGAAGCAATATGTATATTCATTTTGTATATCATAAATATAATTCATAATAATTTTTAACTTTAAGTTTATATAAAAATTCCAAGTCTTATTAGAAAAAAATTTGCCTATTTTTTTTTATCGCAATTTTATATATGTTTTTTTTATTAGATTTTAAATTAATCCTTTGTAGAAATATTAAAAACTTGACAACTCTTTTTGAAAAATAAAATTTTATTAATTTCTCTTATTTTTCCTCGAAATGTATGCAATACTGAATATCGTGTTTTTGCGATGAATTTTTCTTCGCAGAAAAAATTTAAAAGCGACGTTTGACACGTTTAAATGGCGAAAGGACGTTTTCGCTTTTATCTTTTTTCCACTTTAATCCGTATGCAAATCAGGCGGCAAGCCTGAAGGGATACAGGAAACAGACTTGTAATTGCGTCCGACGATAAATTAATATAAATAATATTACAGAAATGAAACAATGGTGTAATTAACTCGTTTAACTGTTTCCGAGTCATTGATGTTACGATGCGTGTCTAAAATGTAATTTGAAAATATCAAAATAAAAAGAGAGAATTTAATTAAATACGAAAACGAGTAGCACAAAAAATTGTATTCATTTTATTGCTCGACATACGATCTTTACTTGGGCTTTAATCGAACCGAAATTATTCGATATATGTTAATAATCGCGTCAAAAGAGAGAAAAAAAAGAGAGAATGAGAGAGAGAGAGAGAGAGAGAGAGAGAGAGAGGAAGACAGAAGGAGAGAGGCTTTGATCGATCCATGATCTTGAGTGATTAAAACAGTGTTCCGCAGACTCGGCGAACTTGAACTTGAGAAAAAATATGCGGGCGTTGCGCCTTGAAGTTCTAATGAGATCCGGTTGACTGAGCGAGAAAGAGAGAGAAAGAGAGACGAGGAGGGGAATCCAAACAGGATCAGCCGTATTGAGAAAATTACACTGGCAGAGGCCACGCGACGTCGACAATCTCGGACGGACGAGTTTTGCTCCCCCTTCGCGGGTTTGCTTTTATTTCCTTGATTACGCCGTGACGTAAATCGCCGGGAGCAAATACTTTTTTGTATCAAGCAAATTAAACTCGTATCATATACGTTCGCTCGCCTCCAGCTCCTCCAGTTCCAAGCCAAAGGTGGTTTACAAGCCAGAGAGAATATAATCTAATTGTACAATTACATGTAATCATTATTTTCGGAAAGACTGCCCTTGAGGAGATTCAGATATATTTTGGGAAACATAATTAATTCTTCCCCCAACAAATTTTCGATACAAAGCACAGATTTCAGCCCTTTGCATCGTAATGGGACGACCCATTTCTTTTTTCATAATTTGTCATTTCTTCAACTATGTTTTTAGCAACTAGTACCGACTTTTCTATTTCTATAAAATCTCTAGAATATCGAAAAAAAATGTAAAATCGTTAATTGTTAATTGCAAAAATATCTTGTATAAAAACGAATTCGAAATTACATTTTCATGGAGAAATGCATGTTTCATTAATCTATTATGAAAATCAAAAGAGCAATATTTTATAAACTTAGTACACTCTGAGGATTTATTTTTCAGAATTTTCTATATTGCTTTTGTCATTAATTTCATATAGAAAATATTTTATTAAATTCAAATTAACAATAGTATTTTTTTAAAACTTTCTGAGTTTTTTGAGTCACAGAATTTAAAGGGAAAAATTTATAATTTTTAAAATTGATAATTGTCTGCCACATTGAATCCGCCATAGAAACTAGAATTTTTTTTAAATGAAAATTTTGACATTAGATTCAGATTCAGCGACGAAAAAATTCTCTGGAAATTAAATTTGAAAAGAATTTAGAATGTAAGGAAAACTATACGATTCCTAGCAAACACCAAGTAACATTTATATAATTGTTAGTAACAATATAATTGTAACATAACAGTTATATAACATGTAACATTTATATTGTTGAGTGAAAAATTATAACTAACAGTTATATAACTGTTATTTGGTGTTTGCTAGGCTGAAAGGATTAATAACGTTAGTAATAATTTAATACGAATATAATAATATCATACTATTCCTAAATAAATAAACTATAATAAAGATTTCTTTCAAATAAATTATAAATAAATTAGGTATAAATAAATTAATAAATAACTAATAAATAAATATATAAATGTATATAAATATATATAAATATATATAAATAAACTAATAAATAAACTAATACATAATTAATAAATAAATTAAGTATAAGTAAACTAATAAAGATTTCTTCTTAAGATTCTACTTAAGGATGCTTTGTATGTATAATCCCAGCAAAAAGTAGCTGAAAATCAATATTGACGAATATATCCACTTTTGGTGTATTTTGAGTATGAGAAATTGTGTGGAATATTACAATTTACAATTTTTTTTTAAATATTTATTGCATTTTTACTGAAATATTCCGAATTTTGTTAATCGAAATGATTAACTTTTGGCAGAGAATTTCGCCTTGTGACAAATACATGCCTAACTTCATTGAATTATATTTAATATCTTTTTAACCAGTTAGTACTCGTATAATATTATTTGACCAAATATTTCCTCTGTATCTAAACTTTTGCAAATTTTAAACAAATTCTGAATATTATTTCTATGTGTTTTTGTCATTTGAATCGACGTGGTTATACGTTTCCCATAAGAACACATGTTAATTCGGTGCAAATTAAAATCCTTATAACTTGTGAACGCTTTAGTGAATCGAAATTGTACTGAAGATTTAAAAATTGTACTGAAGATTCTGTACATTCTGTACAATTTTCATTAAATTCTCAATATTTTGAAAATAGATATAAAACATCCTTAAATAAATTATAAATAAATTAGGTATAAATAACTAATAAATAAATATATAAAAATATATATAAATATATATAAATATATATAAATATATATAAATAAACTAATAAAGATTTCTTCCTAAGATTCTACTTAATCGCAGAGAAGGTATAAATCCCAAGTCGAGGAGTGGAGCAAAATAAGGAGCACCATGATTTTGAGATGAAAAAATTTGCATTTTTATTTGAAATTAACTAGTATTACACAAACTTAACATGCGACAAAGACTTGAGCGACGTAATTCATCCGTCAGTCCATCGGTTTGTCTACGGAGGTCCAAGTTTAGAAGGTAGTCCGGTCGGTTCGCGAGATGAATTACAAAAGAATGGGCGCCGAGTAGGCGGTATACGCGGCAGGTGCAACGGCATGGGTGCCATAAGCTGCTGTCAAGGGAGCCGCGGCGTAGGGAGCCGCGGCGTAGGGAGCCGCGGCGTAGGCGAAGGGTGCTGCTGCCAGGGGTGCTGCTGCCAAGGGTGCCGCTGCCAGGGGTGCCGCTGCCAGGGGTGCCGCTGCCAGGGTGTTGTAGTTCCTGGCGACTACCTGGCTGCTGCTGGCCGTCACGATTGGCGCCGGTATCGCCGCCAGGGGTGCCGCTAGGACCGCACCTGGTGCAGGTGCAGGTGCAGGTGCGGCGCAAACGGCGGCGAGAAGAAGGGCGAGGATGCACTGCAAGAACCAATCAGATTTGCGTATTAATCAGTTGGCGAAATGTCGCGATGATCTATTTTATTTGAAAAGTGGTAGTCTTCTAAAATATATTTTCCATTTTTCTTTCACATAATAACAATATTTTTCGAAAAATTGCAATGCATGATGGCTTCCTTCCTTTGCAGATTTCTTTTACGTATCTCGACGAAAAATATATGAAATGAAATAATCAAGTAAATAATATTCTAATTTTTAATATATTTTTCATTGTTATTATCGACAGTTAAATGACAATGATTTAAAGACACAATGATAAATATTAAAAAGAGGAGCTCACCAGCTTGAACATGATGTACGGTTTTTACGATTGAGAGGAAAGAACTCAAGCGAGAAAGGAACTCGAGGGATCTGCTTTCCGAGTGAAAAAGCAAAAGCCTTTATACCGGGTTGTTCGACCCCCAACTATCGCTTCATCAAGGTCATCGATGTCCACCGCGTATCGATGCGCGTCGATGCGCGAACCGCTCCTCTTTCTCTATTTCTCTCTCTCTTTCTTGGCACGAGTCTCTTGAATTCAAGCACGACGAGCATTGTCAAGTGGCTTTCCTTTCGAAGCCGACGTTTTCGTCATCGATTTGCAACAATTTAACCTTCATTTAAACGACCAGTTACGCAATAAGCTGTCTTTGTTCGTCAAAATTCTTTTTCGAAAACACGAGTTTATTCAGCCTTCCTTATCCTCAGTCTCCTCTTGAGATGATATTGAATAATTTTATCTTTTCGAGGGAGATCTTTTTCTCGATTCATCTTCTTTTCCTTTTATATTTACTTTGAAAGAAACATGGAGACTTTCATCTCTGATCTATACATCGACTGCCCGAGTCCTATTTAAGGAGGCCATTACATGAGACCGAAATCGATGGAGCGGGACATCTGTGAAGCCCGAAGGGTCCACGCATCTGCTAATTCGGTCTAATGCGTCAGTGTGGCTATCCGTTAATTGTTACCTAACCTAACGCAACGTAGGCCACTGGACGCGTTTCACGTAATCATTGTCCCCGTCGCGCAATTTTGCCACATATTGTGTGTTAAGCAGAGTTACGTAACCGTCCGCTATGCTCGTTTACATAATAATCTCCGATTGGACAGATATCGACAACATAGACACACACTTCCTAGTATCGAACGCATCGCTCGATCAAGGTCATCCTGATCTCGAATTTTCGAGAAAGTCAATCGTCGTTAAAAAAAAAAATTCCAATTTTTCTCGCAAAATTATGCCATGTTTTTATTTTGAGAAATTTTTAAATTTATTATATCAACGTGATTAAATTGAATTATGATTAAATTTATGATTGAATTTTAAATTATATTTACGATATAATAAAAAAGCACGTGAAGATTGTAGAATAATAGAGAATTTTAATTTTTTATCTATCTATTATTATTATTTATAATAATAATAATTATTATTATTATTTATAATAATAATAATAATTATTATTATTATTATTAATCATTATTATCATTATTATCATTATTATCATTATTATTATTATTATTATTGTTATTATTATTATTATTATCATTATCGTTATTATCATTATTATTAATATTATTAAATTATTTTTTATTATAATTTTTATTACTAATATGTTATTTTCTATTATAATTCTCCATTATTATTGTTTTATAAGAATAATAGAGAATTAAAATTCTGTATTATTATTATTATAAGACAATAATAATGGAGAATTATATAATAGAAAATAACATAATAATAATAAAAATTATAATAGAAAATAATATTAAAATAATAATAATAATAATAATAATAACAATAATAACATTGATGATAATAATGATGATAATGATAATGATAATAATAATAATAATAAAATAATATAATAATTATAAATAATAATAATAGATAGATAAAAAATTAAAATTGTCTATTATTATTATTCTACTATATAAACTTCACACTCTTTTTTATTATTTTTTTATTTGGAAAATTAAAATTCTGTATTATCATTATAAAGTTTTAATTTGGATAGTTTAAAGGATAATGTGAAAATATTTTTTAAAGAGAAAAGATTATAAAGAATATTAATTCGGTTGATAAATCTCGAAATATTTCTGATTTACGTAGAAGTGTCATCGTGAGTCCGGTCGCGATTTTAGCGAGACATTCTGGGTCACACGCTCTGATACTCTAGGTGCCGCCGTACAATTTACGTAATGTAGCTTCTTCGGCAAGTAAATCACGTACCCGGAGGAAAGTGCGTCGGATCATGGCCGGCCGAGAAGACCGAAACGAAAGTGATTGACGCGTTGCGTCGTCGACGAAGGAGGAGTCTTTCTAGGATATTAATCGCCGAGAATTCGAATCTCGAGAGTTCCTGTTTCTCGCGGATACGCATAAACCAGAAGGGCAAGAAAGAGAGACGCGTACACCCCGAGGGCCTTCAGTGTCTGAATTACCGGGAGCGAGTAGCCGCCAGGACGGTAGCTGGAAACTCGAATCCCACCCAACCGCATCGCAATCTCGCAACCTTGAAAGATGTATCCTGCTTCTGCTCGCACGCCACGACGGCAAAAACAAATCCCGGATCGTTTGCATAAAGTATCGGTTCGAGGGCACGAGTCGATCATTGATCCCGGGCATTCCGTCCCTACGATTCCTTCAACAAAGGAGCGTACAAAGATGATAGGAGAAGGAATCTTGGACAAAGAAAGCAATTACCAAAAAAGAATTGTGTTAGTCTAATAAATAGGAATGATTCTCAGAAAGCAATTGCGACAAAAGAATCGTATTAATCTAATGAAAATTTTCAGAAAATTTTAAGAAGCGTTATAAAATGAAATAATGACAATTGCAGAAGAACGAGATAAATCAGACGAGAGAGAAAAATCCCATGTTTTCTTAAAAAAGAGTCTTTAGGAGTTAATCATAATTTAAATTTATGACGAATTCTAGAAAAAATATTTTATCACATTTTTCATACTTTTATTCAGATTTTTTAGTATTATTTATTTTTATGCAGGTTTTTTGAATATTATTTTAGGAAATTATAGAATAAAAAATTTCAGAATATTTATATGCATATATAAAAAATTCTAACAAAATTCATTTACGGTAAAAATATCTTCACTTCTTTTTTAAAAATTTTTGAAAAGTATGCTGATTCGTAAAGAAAATCTTAAAATTTTTAAAGGAAGTTTTAGAATTTTTATTAGAAAATCTGTGAAAATTTTTACGGTAAATTTTGTAAATAATTTTTACCAGGGAATAAAAATAGCTTAGAAAATTATACTTTCTATATAAATTAAAAAACACAAGAACGCTTTGGGATGTATTTATGTTTGAAGCTATCATATCGCATTAATTATATTTTCGTATTTTCGATATAACAGATGATGCAATAAATCGAAATTGCTTTTTTTCAATTAGATTATACGCATTTAGAATTAAAGCGACGATGATAGTGCAATCATATAATAGTTGCATCACATGGATTAAGCTTACGTTACCGACTTATACGTCACAGGTTCTAACTCTCTGAGCGGAATAATTAATTGCTAGATTTCGCACACATGCTTGTTATTATTTGTACATAATACATATGTTATTTGTACATAATACATATAATATATATCTCGAACAGAATATCAGTAACTGTAATCGAAGGTCTCGAGTGATGACGAAAATTTGGCTCGATTCAGAAACGGAGAGAGAGAGAGAGAGAGAGAGAGAGAAAGAGAGAGAGAGATCGTAGTAAATTATTCCGGATACGCCCCCACGAATTGTATAACAAATAGCGATTATGGTGGGAGAGAGTCTTTGTTGTTTAAGGGGACGGCACGATGTATAAAAGACACCGAAGTAATCGAGAATAGCATCGCAGTTTTCGCAGCGAAGACAATCACTTACACTATCTTCACCAAAATGATGATCAAAATCTTCGTAAGTTTTCGATAATAATTTAATTAATATTTTTTTACATCATAAAAGTGTAAATATATAATACAGTATAATACAGTATTTTTATTAATATATTAAGTAAATTATATTAATATATTAATAATATTAAATCTTATATTAATATATTGAGTAAATTTTTTGCACACACGTACAATTTTGACATGACATGTCTTTCATTGATATTTATTTATTTATAAATATTATATATTCTATTCTAAAAACTATAAAAAAAAAATATATATATATATATATATATATATATATATATATTTTATATAACTTTTTTAATGCAATTAATTTTCCATGCGATTTTTTATATCAAAGCAACTTTGCAGCCGCAAATTGCTCATTTAATTTACTTTTTTTACCTTTATTTAAAAACTATCCATACCGCATAGATCATTGTTATTATATTGCAGCAATATTGCAGCAACATCGCAATATTGCTGCAATGTAACAACAACCCAGCAAACACAGAATGTTGCAGCAACATTGCTGCAACATGTTGTAATATTGCCGCAATATTGCTGCAATATTCTGTGTTTGCTGGGAATGTTTGTTGTACAATATTTCTAACAAATATTGTTGTTACATTGCAGCAATATTGCGATGTTACTGCAATATTGCTGCAATGTAACAACAATAAATGATCTGTGCTGTATGGATAACTTGTTCTATTATAATTGAGCCTTTATCTGGAATATTTGAAATTTGCATGATAAAGACCATCGTCGGCGCTCTTTTCGTGGCTGCCTGTAACGCTGGAGTGGTACCAGCGATTCCAGCGGCGGTACCCGCGGCTCTGACAGTCGGGACTTATGCTACCAGCTACAACGCGCACGCTGTCAATCATGCCATAGCCGCCCCATACGTAGCGGCTGCACCCGCAGCCCTCGCAGCCGCTCCAGTGGGATATTCCGCCCTACCAGCCGCATATTCCGCCCTTCCGGCCGCGTATTCCGCTCTGCCGGCCGCGTATTCCGCTCTGCCGGCTGCGTATTCCGCTCTTCCGGCTGCGTATTCCGCCCCGATTATCGCCGGAAGACGCTGAATAACGCTTTGACAATCGCTGAAAACTAGACCAAACCGAGATCTGTCATTGCTGCAATATTTCTTTTTCCATCGCTGATTTTTTAAATATTAAATATTAAAATAATACAGTCTCCATAGTTTCCATTGAGATGATATAATATTTTTTTATTCGCCAAATTGATATTAAATTTTATATCCCGTTCTCTGTATTAATTCGCAGAATGACCTATCAAGCAATATATCAAAATTCTTATTGTACAGGGTGTATCAAATTTTGTAAATAAATTCCTTGAGAATTCCATAATCTTCCAGGTATTTTTATTCAAAATCCCAGATAAAAGTAAAGTATTTTAATATAAGTACAATTTTAAATAAATTTCCTGAAAATTCCATCTCCTAGGTATTTTTGTTCAAAATTCCAGATGAAAATAAAGTATTTGTATAAATACAATTTTAAAATAAATTTATTTATTGTACTTAAACTTTATACTCTAACATAAATAAAATTTTAATAAAATATTTTACATAAAATATATAATATTTAATATTTTGCATAAAATATATAATAAAATATTTAAAACGTAAAAAATTTTGTATTTCTTATATATTTCTTTAAATAAATATTTATATATTGAATGATATATGCTAATGCTGATTAGGCTTCGATAGCAAATTACTGACCACTTACAATATAAAAAAATTATCAAAAAAGCAATTTTAAAAAAATTCCTCGACTTTAATAAAATTTTGAGAATTTCTCAAGTAAAACAAAAATTCTTGAGAATTTCAGGTTTTTCTCAGAAATATACATCTTGTTATTTTATACAATTACATCGTTAGAAATTTTAATATTAGTCATCCTAAATTAATTAATTAAAAAATAATCGCACTTTTTTTTATCGAAACAATATTTAATTTATATATCACTTATTTATTATTATTATTATTATTACAATACTTGCAGGCGTGCAATTTTGTAATCGATCAATCTTTTATAAGTTTTTTCTTTTTTTTTGCAATAAAATCTGTATACACAAGACAAGACACGTATAATCTATCTCGTACATATCTAAAAATATATTTACATGAGAGGAGAGAAAAGTGATGTGTGTTGTACACAAGGAGTCATTTGAATCGACGAGATGATTTAGGGAAGAGATTTCTTAATGAACCATTTATTCTCGAGATTTCTCTGTAAAAAGAATATTTTTCAGGACGAGGAGTAATACAACATCGATTTACTTATTCCATTGTCATGTTCTATTAATATCACTTACAGTATATTAATGTTAATAAACCTGATACAAATATATTCTGTGCCACATTTTGTACTTGTAAACATTTCTTTTGAATTTTTTTCTTTTGTCATGTGTGTATGTATACGTAAATGTATATCTATTCATATCTTAGTAAATGTATATCTCGTTTGTGTGTCGTGCTTTTATTATGCACAAACTATATGATCGAGCGAGATAGAAACGCAAGTGAAACGCTTACTTTAAGTAAGATTCGATGTGCAACATAATGAGGATAAAATGGTAACTATCCTTAAAATGGCAGAAGCGTCGTAAAGAGAAAAAAAAGAAGAGTCTATGAAGGAGAAATTGATAAAGTATCCTTAAAATAATCGTATATCACTTTCGGTGTGCATTGTGTATGTAATGAAACGTATTAGTTGAATAATATCGACGAAAAATGTGACAAAAGTGAAAGAGGCAACGCGAGAGAGATCACATTGTCCCTCCCCCCTTTAATCGCTACATCTTCAGCTGAAAAAGCCGCATATACAATATATATGTATAACAATGAGCGCCTTTCGATTTGGCACAAGAGTTACGATAGTTTTAGATCTTTGGTTTCGATAAATGGCTATAATGGGCGTAAATCTAGAGAAACCTCTGGAAGCGACACGAAAAATCAACATTGTGTGCGTTTGTGTCGCACACAAACGTATCATGTATTTATTATTATGTATGATTAAACACGTCGATTTCATGAAAATAGACCAAGGATATACATATATATTTCTTTCAGGATACGTGATATTCCAAGTAATAACCCATACAGCACAGAACATTGCAGCAATATTACGGCAATATTACAATGTTGTTGCAATATTGGAATGTTGTTGCAACATTGCAACAATATTGCGGCAATATTACAATGTTGTTGCAATATTACAATGTTTGTTATAACATTGCAGCAATATTGCAATGGTGTTGCAACATTGCAGCAATATTGCGGCAATATTACAATGTCATTGCAATATTGCAATATTTGTTGTAACATTGCAGCAATATTGCAGCAATATTACAATGTTGTTGCAACATTGCAGCAATATGGCGGCAATATTACAATGTTGTTGCAACATTGCAGCAATATTGCAATGTTGTTACAATGTTCTGTGCTGTATGGGTAAAATGTAACGTAAAATAAGTAACTATGATAATGTTATCGAGAATCGGGGATTTTATAAAATGGAAATTTTTCTATTAAAACGTCGCGATTTACTTCGATAATGGAATCATACGTCGATATCACTATGATCGTTTGTTGCTATAAGATTGATTCGCGAGGAGAAAGCACAAAGTTTCGAATGCGAAAAATTTTTTTTTCGCACGACCTTGAGTACGAATTCGCAACAAATAACGCATTGCATTTGGACAAATTATTCACAATCGCCGAAATGCTCGTAACGCATATAGCTAATGTCGCCTTCGCTCTATGACAGATATATATATATATACATATATAATGACTAGAATAAAAAGTGAACATTACAATCTGTTATCACCATGCAAATATACTTACAGCTACCGCGTTAGGCATCTTGATTGAATTATTTCACAAATATTGGCATCCCAGACAGTACTTTGTATCCTGTCGTTTGATTGAAAGAGCACGTGTGCGCAAATAAAATTTACATTATATTTATATTCGTGAAAATATCGCGCCCATTTAAGGGGACAAAGTAGAAATTCTTCTCCCCTTTACGAGAATTTCCGATGTAATGGCTACTTTAGCTTCTCTCTAAATCTATCTAATCTCACAAAATAATGTTCGAGGAGACCAACTATCTGGGATGCTACGATTATCACCAAAGCCACGTTACACGGAGTATTTTCTCGATGGAGTATAGATCCGAAATAGAAGAATATATATAAGCTAAGAGCTAAATAACAATTCTTAATAATCTTACTTATCACTGACGGACGTGGCACTGGATCACGATGTATCATCTCCGCTTCCTTTTCATTCTATATACGATATACTCATCACACACATCATACTGTTCTGCATATACACTGCTTACTGGAGGAAGGTAAAGAATAAATAATTTAACAGCTATGCACAATTACGGAGATAAATTAACTCTCTTTCGTCCTTCGATCGTACTCTTCGTGGAATAGATTCTTCTTCGTAAAATCTCGGGCTCTCTCTACTCAATTTTTTTTTTAAAAAAATAACATCCATTCTAAATCCCATGGATGTGTCGTATGCACGCTTTTGGGCTTTTTTCGCATTAAACGCGTTAATCGCGTTACAATCTCGTCCGCGCCGTATTATATTAACTAATTTCTTTAATAACGCGTCTCTTTTTGTTCAAAAACCTTGTCTTTTCGATTGCTCTCTATCTTCCTTATAACCGCAGTTGTAGTTTTTGCAACTTGAACATTGAACCGACTGCGAGAATAAAATATTCCTTTGACTATATTTTATAAACAACGTATGAAAATGGCAGTTTTCATCTGTAATCCGGACATATCACAACGTAAAATAGTGTACGGTATTTAAATCACCACCCAGTAAACACAAAGTAACAGCTTCAATGTAACGTGCATTGCACATAATAGTTACATTGTCGAGTGGGAAATCATAACATCAACCCAGCAAACACCAACCCATACAGCACAGAACATTGCAGCAATATTGCTGCGACATTGTAGCAATATTGTAATATTGTTGCAATGTTCTGTGTTGTATGGGAAGTAACATTTATATAATTGTTAGTTGTAACGTTATATAATTGTTATACAGTAATGTTATATAATTGTTATACAGGGTTTTCGAAAAGTCCGGAAACGGTCGAATATCTAAAAAATAAAGCATTTTAGAGAAAAATGTTTCAAATAAAAGTTGTTTGGTTTAAAGAGAGCTATAAAATGGTGGCAATGATTTGATCTTGAATAGTCGCTGGAAGGTCACATGAAGATCACCTTAAATGTTTTAAATGGAACAGAAGAAAACACATAATAGTTTTTTAAAAAATATGTAAACTTACAATTAACAATTACATATTTTCTCTCAAAAACAACTATGTTTTTTATTTACACTAATTGATTCCTCACATTATTCTGTGCACAAAAGTATTAAGGTAAGATAATCGAAAAATGAATATTTTACTAAATATTTTATGGTTTATGTAAAATTAAGAAATTATTTCAAGCATCGTAACTCGAAAAGTACTTAATGAAAAAATACTTAATTATAGTGTTTTGGAAAGCTCTCGAGATGAGCTACAAGAATGTGCAAAAATATACAAGGTGTTCCATTTAAAAAATTCAAGGTGACTTCATGTGACCTTCCAGCGACTATTCAAGAGCAAACCATTGCCACCAATTTATAGCTCTCTTTAAACCAAACAACTTTTATTTGAAATATTTTTCTCTAAAATGCTTTAATTCTTATATATTCGACCGTTTCCGGACTTTTCGAAAACCCTGTATAACTGTTATTTGTTGTTTGCTGTTTGCTGGGAATATTACATTACTGTTACTTTGTGCTTGGTGGGCAGTAACTCCGACGTACGTAAGTTCGCTTAGTGTAAAAAATAATAACAAAAGATCTACAGACGCATTTGCAAACGTACGAAATAAAACTTAGGGAGAGACGTTGAACCGTCGTGACATTCGCAAACGTCAACAACAATCAATAATAACCGGGATAATGGTGGTACCCGGGTCTCGGAGGGTGATACGGGGCCGGACTCACGGGGTAGCTGGGATTGTATCCCGGTGGAGGTGGAGGCGGAGACAATATTCGGCCTTCACCGGCATCAGGTACTACGTGCGTCGCAGCCGAGCCGGCCGGTTGCGGGCTGGTAATGACACGAGTGCCGGATCCGTGCAGATGATGCGACCTGGAGAGGCTCAAATCGACGCTGTGTCTGCCCCCCGGGGTAAGATCTAGACTGACTACACGCAGAACGTCGCTGTGTGACGGATAAGGCGGCGGGGGCGGCGGCGGGGGCGACGACATGGAGTAGCTACTCGTTCTACTGAGGTCCACGCTCTGTCGCTCGCCAATATCGTACAGATGGTGATGATGGTAGCGCGTATTTTGCACCTGGGCGCTGAAACTGTGATGAAAACCCCTGGCCGACATGTCCAGACCCTGAAGCTCGCCGCTATTGAGCATCAATGGCTCAAAGTTGGACCTTTCTCGGGCAAAATCCTGCTCGCCGAGCGAGTCGTACTTATAAGACGTCGATAAGTCCAGTTGCAGCGCCTTCTCCTTCACAGATAGACTGAGATTCTGCGCGACCGAGTCGCCCTCGTCGCTCGACAGATTATCCGTTGGCACCTGATGATGATGATGCACATCCTGGTAGCGAGGATTCGGAGTGACCGAGGGCGACACCAGGTCTTCCTGCTGCATGTGAATGTAATTCGGCGAGGAGACGCGAGGCAGCTCCTCGTGATGCAGATATTGTTCGATGTTGTGGGTTCTCGAAGCGTTGATGTAGTCGACCGGTCGGTGTAGGTGATAATCCACATGCAAGTGACTAGGCGGAGTGTGTCGATCATCCGGGGTCGGCGCAGGCGACATTAGTTCCTCCTGCTGCTGGATGTACGAATCTAGATGATTTGGCGATCGCGATTGCGGTATCGGCGATTGCAATTGGCTCGAGATGGAGTACAGGTTGGCCTCGCGATCATTGTCCTCTAGGATTGGACTGGACACTGCTCCTATATCCCTCTCGGCGGCGTCCAGAGCTGCCTCTACCAGCAGACTCGCGTTTGAACTCTCCGTTCTACGATACATACTCAGGCCCAGTTTATTGCTGTCCATCACCAGACTTGGCGCCGTCGTGCGCGAGATCACTTTCTCGCCGCCACCGTCCTTCCTACCATCCTCGAAATCGTACACATCGGAAGACGGCGCCGAGACTGTCGGTAAATGAACAGCGATATCGGACGTGGGTGGTGGATTAAATTCGCCCAGCCACTTTTTGCTACCCTTGCTTTGCACTCTAGAGGTGCTGTACAGATCGACCTCTGTTCGTACGTTCTCCATCGTCGTCGTGTCGAGGCCGCTAGATAAAGACGCGGTCGTTTGCGGCGACGGGGTTGGAACCTGGGATTCTTGTTGCTCCGTCTTATACTTGATCGTAGAGTTCCCTCCAGTCTGGAATGAATCTATGATGGCATTGTGAGCGGAATTCGCCGCCGCTGTCTCAACCTTCAAGCTACTCTCGGAACTGCAATCGTCTAGAGACGGTAGACTGTTGCTGTTATCCTGCTGAAGGAATGACGAGGATAAGAACTCTTCAAGAGATTTCGTCAATCGTTATGTATTTATTAAAGATAACTCACCTGCGAATTTCTTCTGCTAGCGTGACTGGACCTTCCACAAGACACATCTTCGATGAGACCACCGCTGTAAGCGTCAAAGGTATACGCTACGGATCTCTCAATCTTGGGCATCATCTCTTCCGTGAGGCCATGCACCTTCTTGTAATGAAACTGTAGACATTGTTTCGTGGTAAAAGCCGCCTTACAGCTGTCCTCTTTACACCTGAAGAAGAAGAAAATAATTACACACGTAAACAGCAAAGGATATTAGATAAGAAATGATAATTGCACTTCAGAGAACAAAATCTGGTTGCCTTAATTAGAATTCTGGTAGATTTAACCAGTATGTTTGTTGGAAAATGGACGAACCAGAATTTTTGTAGGAATTACCAGATAAATCCGATTAATTTCTTCCTGTTAAATTTACCAAATTTTCTGGTTAATAATTAATATATGATTAACTAATATATGATTAGTTTAATAATATTTATCGCACGCTTTAATATTTTAAAATTTATTGAATTTAATTTATAGGAATTCTTAATAGTATGTGTAATAATATACTTAATTTTTAAATATAAAGTATTTCAAATTTATCAATGAAAATACTTTGAGAATATAAATTTTGCGATTATTTTTTAATCTCTAAATGCTAGTCTCTTACAAAATTTTTTTTCATATCGTGATAAATTATTTTTCTAACAAATTTAAATTAAAAATTTGAATTTATCAATTCTGAATTTTTAATTCGCGCACTGAGAAAAAATCTGGTTGCATTAATTAGAATTCTGGTAGATTTAACCAATATGTTTGTTGGAAAATGGACGAACCAGAATTCTTGTAGGAATTACCAGATAAATCCGATTAATTTCTTCCTGTTAAATTTACCAAATTTTCTGACTAATATTTAATATATGATTAATTAATATATGATTAGTTTAATAATATTTGTCACTCACTTTAATACTTTAAAATTTATTGAATTTAATTTATAGGAATTCTTAATAGTATATGTAATAATATATTTAATTTTAAAATATAAAGTATTTTAAATTTATCAATGAAAATACTTTGAGGATATAAATTTTGCGATTATGTTTTAATCTCTAAATGCTAGTCTTTTACAAAATTTTTTTTCATATCGTGATAAATTATTTTTCTAACAAATTTAAATTTAAAAAATTTGAATTTATCAATTCTGAATTTTTAATTTGCGCACTGAAAAAAAAATCTGGTTACAGTAATAATAATTCTGGAAGATTCAATCAGTATGTTTGTTGGAAAATGGACGAATCGGAATTCTTGTAGGAATTACCAGATGAATCTGATTAATTTCATCCTGCTAAATTTTCTGGTTAATAATACTAAATTTGCCAGCACCAAGTTGTCTAAAATTTTTTCCATCTAATCTCAAAAGTCTGTTTAATATTTTGAATTTCAACAAGTTTATTGATTAAATTCAATCCAGATTACTGAATAAATTATTTTAAATTCAGTTTGTTAGAAATTAAACTGATAAACAGTGATGCAAGAAGAGGATGCTGCTCAAACACACACAATCAGAGAGGTAGCGTCCTCTTTCTGGCATTACTGGCCGTAAGAAAAAAAAATATACTTTAGATTTAATGTTAATACTAGTTCTTTATACACATTTCATGGCAAATATTGAATATGAGTTAAATTAAGAGTGGCTCGTTGTCTAGCGGCAAGCAAAGAAATGAATATAAAGACTATAAAATAGAATATAAAGATAGAATAGAATATAAAGATAGAATAGAAGAATAGATAGAATAGATAGAATAGAATATAAAGATAGAATAGAATATAAAGATAGAATAGAATATAAAGATACAAGAAATTTTATAAATCCAACCAGAAAAGACTAACCAAATCCTTATAGTAAAATCTATTAAACGTTCTAGTTATAAAAAATCGAGTTTTATCATGATAACTAGAAATTTTTGATTTAACCAAAATTCCTTCAATCATATACATTTTGTTGATACAATCAAACGATTTTTCCCAGTATGATGACCTAAACTTACTTAAATGGCTTCACGCCACTATGAGTCAGCATGTGTATCTTCAAGTTGCTCTTGTTCTGGAACATCTTTCCGCATCGGTCGCATGTGGCTGCGGCGACGACGTCTTTGTGATGGACCTCCTTCGTATGCCGTTGCAAAGCCGCGCGAGAACCCAAGAGTTTTAAGCACGATTTACATTGAAATTCCCTGAGCACTTCAGACATGTCTGTGAAAAAATTTCAACGTAATCACATGAAGAAGAAATAATAATTCATCGCTAATTATCATCGATTATTCCAATCTTACCACTGTGCATTCTCTTGATGTGTACTTTTAGCTTTTGCGGTTGACAAAATTTGCGACCGCAAAAGTCGCACAGCGGCCGCGATCGTTGTGGATTCTGTGCGCATCCATAAGTCCTATGCATCTCCAAATAATTCAGTCTTAAGAAGAATTTCTTGCAGTATTGACACTGATATGCGCCACGACCTCCATGCAATTCTGCCGCGTGTTTCATGATATTATCCTTGCCGAGAACCGCGGCGCCGCAAACCTGAAAACGACAGAATTCAATAAAACAGTAAGTAAAGTAACACGTAACACATAGCAAATTTATTCAAACTTGCTACTCAAAAAAAAATGTTCAAGCATTAAAATACCTTGCAGTGATATTTTCTTATGGTCAGACTATAATTTGTGTCGTGAAAGATGCAACAGTGCAGTCGATAATATATCGGGTGTGCGAAATTGAGGTTGCACCCTCCGCAATCTGAAAGTGATACGAACGTGAAAAAGATCATATAAACTGAATGTTAACTTATTTTTTAGTTCGACACGTAATCTACGTACTTGTTTTGTCTATCTTATTCTTTCTCGTCCAGGCGGAAGATTGCGAGTCTGCCCAATAAGTGAGCTCCATCCCCGAGATAATATTCTGGGTCGTAACAAAATGCAGCTGGCCTTGCTTCGTCATAAGTATCGCGACGTTCCTCTTGTCCTTCGTCTCAGCCGGTCTGAGATATCGAATCCAGTTACTCTTCAATGGATCTGTAGTACTGATGTATACACTTTTCCCATTATTATCTATCTGAAAAGAAATAAATCCTCTGCCGTAGAAATTATTCTCCCAGAAGAATGTATCATCCCAGCCAACACCAAGTAAAACTTGTTATTTGGTGCTTGCTGCACTGAGAAAAAAATCTGATTGCATTAATTAGAATTCTGGTAGATTCAACCAGTATGTCTGTTGGAAAATGGACGAACCAGAATTCTTGAAGGAATTGCCAGATGAATCTGATTAATTTCTTCCTGTTAAATTTACCAAATTTTCTAGTTCATAATTAATATATGATTAGTTTAATAATATTTATCACGTGTGCTTTAATATTTTAAAATTTATTGAATTTAATTTATAGAAATTCTTAATAGTATGTGTAATAATATACTTAATTTTTAAATATAAAGTATTTTAAATTTATCAATGAAAATACTTTGAGGATATAAATTTTGCGATTATTTTTTAATCTCTAAATGCTAGTCTCTTACAAAATTTTTTTTCATATCGTAATAAATTATTTTTCTAATAAATTTAAATTTAAAAAATTTGAATTTATCAATTCTGAATTTTTAATTCGCGCACTGAGAAAAAAACCTGGTTGCAATAATTAGAATTCTGGTAGATTCAACCAATATGTTTGTTGGCAAATGGACGAACCAGAATTCTTGTAGGAATCACCAGATGAATCTGATTAATTTCTTCCTGTTAAATTTATCAAATTTTCTGGCTAATAATACTAAACTCGCCAGCACGAAGTCGTCTAAAATTTTTCCATCTAATCTCAAAAGTCTGTTTAATATTCTGAATTCCAACAAGATTATTGGATAAATTCAATCCTAAATTATTGAATAAATTATTTTAAGTTCAGTTTATTAGAAATTAAACTGATAAACAGTGATGCAAGAAGAGAATGTAACTCAAACACAATCAGAGAGCTAGCGTTCTCTTTCTGGCACTACTGCTCGTAAGAGGAAAAAAATATACTTTGGATTTAATGTTAATACTAGTTCTTTATACAGGGTGTTTTAGACCACCCGTACCACTCATTTAAAAACTAGAAAAGTGGTTATTTCAAAAAAGTAAAAATATTTTCTTTATAAATCGGAGGGTGTGCTCTATCGAATGGTGATATTTTCAACTTCTGGTTCCGCCCGGAAATAGGCGATTCAGACCAGAAGTGCATTTTTTTAAATGAAACCCCCTATTTTTCATTGGATGTTCTCGTAGCTTACCTAAATATCTTGTAAAATATTCATTTTTCGATTATCTTACCTTAATACTTTTATGTGCAAAATAATGAGAGGAATCAATTGGTATAAAGAAAACATACAGTTGTTTTTAAAAAAAAATATGGAATTGTTAATTGCAAATTACATATTTTTTCTTAGAAACAACTATTGTCTTCTTTACAACAATTGATTCCTCTCATTATTTTGTACATAAAAGTATTAAGGTAAGATAATCGAAAAATGATTATTTTACAAGATATTTTATGATTTATGTAAAATTAAAAAATGATTTCAAGCCTCATAACTCGAAAACTACTTCATGGAAAAATAATTTATTATAGTGTTTTGGAAAGCTCTCGAGGTATGCTACAAGAATATCCAATGAAAAATAAGGGGTTCCGTTTAAAAAAATGCACTTCCGGTCTGAATCGCCTATTTCCGGGCTGAACAAGAAGTTGAGAATATCACCATTCGATAGAGCGCACCCGATTTATAAAGAAAATGTTTTTACTTTTTTGAAATAATCACTTCTCTAGTTTTTAAATGGGTGATCTGAAACACTCTGTATATTATACAAAGCACGATGAAAGTATTATCAGAATAATGATAATACCTCCCAAATATGACGCATGGAGAAGTCATCAGGGATATCCATTTCCTTAACTGACGTGCCGACAAGAGGACCCAATTTTGCACGAATGGGGATCGAGTTCTTGGCGTAGATGCTGAGACCGTGATCGGTGTTGGCGATCTTCAGCTCGAGACAATCCGGCAGGGAGTCCCTCGCGTACAATGGCCGATCAGCGTCCACTAGCAACTGCTTCTCTTCCCTCTGCACCTTCGACTTGGTCTTACATTGCTCGCTGGACGCCAACGGCTCCTCGTCCGACTCGAAGCCATCGTCCGCCAATCGACCGTAGCCCTCCGACATCGGGTCCCCTGACTTTATAGCCTTCATCACTTCCGCGTTTTGCTTATGCTTGCTCAGCCACTCCTCGTACGTGATCGCGTCGATTATCGTGTGCAGCGGCTCCGTAAAAGGACACACGTCCTGCAAGTGAGGTACCTCGCATTCCTGGCAGAGCTTAATTTTGATCGCCAGTCTTTGCGGCTCCGATATCACGCCGTCCAAGTTGTCGGCGACCTTTCCAGGACCTACCGTCGATGATGGCAGCTCGACCTCGGGCGTACACGAGTCTTGGGGCTCCTCCTGAACGATCCCATCCTGCGGCGCCTTTCGTACGTCGTGATGCTTCTTGGTCTTGTGCTCGTTCGTGTGCTTGTGCTTCTTTCGCCGATGCTTGAACGCCACCGTCTCGTCCGAAGCCTTGCTTTCAGATGTATCCTTCTTCCCGACTTGCTCGTCGTGACGCGGTCGCTTCCGTTTCCTCTTCTGCTTGCGATCTTCCGCGTCCTTTGACTCGTCATCCTTTTGCGCGTCATGGAAAGTTGCATCCTCGTATCCCTGCGACTCGTAACGCGTCTTGTTTTGGGGTTTCGAGGTCTTTTCAGGTGCGCCCGCAGCTTGTGCCTCGGTATCCTTGACGTTGGATGCCGGGTTTAATAAATATTCCACGTCCTCGTTTAAATCCTCAGCCTTACACTCGCGTTTGGGAAGGGACGACGAGGCTGTATCAGCGTTAAAATGCAACTTGGCGATCCTGTCATCCCCTGAGGTATCCCTCGCCGACTCGCTGGATACATCAGCGGCCTTCGCATCGCATCTGACGTCGTTATTCGTCGTATTATTTACATCATTTATAAATCTTACGCTATCTATGTGCTCAGTCTTCGTCGTAACGGATTCAACGTCCTTTGTATTGATTCCGAAGCTTACGTCTAGTTTTAATTTAGTGTCTAACTCACTGACTACCGTCGTCTCGCAACCGTCCAGGTCTTTGCTTTCCAGTGAAGTACAGTTCTGCGCGTCCAACGGGTTGTCGTTGGTGCATTCAGACCCGTTCAGTCCGATGGAGCCGTCCTCGGCGCCGTTCTTCGAATGTCGCCGTCTCTTTCGCTTGTCCTTGTGATGCTTCGTCTTGTTCTTATGATGCTTCGACCTCGAACTACGTCGCACGTGTAACTTGATGGCGTCGTTCAGCACCTTCGACGAGACGCTCTCGCTTATCGCAGGATGCACCTCGACCGGATCTTGCCTTCGCGAGCTTCTACGAACAGGCTCCCCCTTCTCCCCTTCTTCGTCAGCTGCCTCGACCTTGACAGCTTCCTCGTCGTCGTCCCTGACCCGACTTGCCTTCCAATCCTCCGCACCATTGCACTTGCCATCTTGCCTGTGTATTAAAAATTCAATTAGACACACTGTGTTATCTATCTTTTGTTGTATCCCAACAAACACCAAATAACACTTATATAATTGTTAGTTGTAATTTCTCACTCAACAATACTGTACAACGAAAACTGGTACATGTTATATAACTATTACATAACATGTAATAGTTATGTTTTCGAGTGGGAAATTACAACTAACAATTATATAAATGTTACTTGATGTTTGCTGGGATTGTTAGTTGTAATTTCCCACTCAACAACATAACTATTACATGTTATGTAACTGTTATATAATTTGTAATAGTTATATTATTGAGAGGGGAATTATAACTAACAATTATATAAATGTTATTTGGTTTTTATATAATTATTAGTTGTAATTTCCAACTCAACAATATAATTGTTACATGTTTTGTAACTGTTATATAACATGTAATAGTTATATTGTTGAGAGGGAAATTATAACTAACAATTATATAAATGTTACTTGGTGTTTATATAATTATATGTTATGTAACAATTACATAACATGTAACAGTTATGTTGTTGAGTGGGAAATTACAACTAACAATTATATAAAAAATGTTACTTGGTGTTTGCTGGGATTGTTAGTTGTAATTTCTCACTCGACAACATAACTGTTACATGTTATGTAACAGTTACATAACATGTAACAATTATGTTGTCGAGTGAGAAATTACAACAAACAATTATATAAATGTTACTTGGTGTTTGCTGAGATATATTCTTATGAGATGATTAATTAAAGATGAATCAGTAAAAGTAAACGTATGAAGGTTTATTTGAGGCAAGTTTTATTTTCCAAGGAAGTATTTCTAGAAACATCACGAGTGCATCTAGTCAAGCTGGGTGAGCTTCGAAACTCGCGATCATGGCTAGTATTTCCCGCGCGTGGATCCGGTATCGATCGGCTCCTCGCGTCGTCCCCCGCAAGATGGCGATTCGACGAAACGCGTCGGGTGACAGTAGGGGGGAAGCCCCGTACGCGTGACAGCTAGCAGGTCCTGTCACGCGTTCCGTCGAGATACTGAACCGTAAAGCCACGACCGCGACGACGATGACAGCGACGAGGCGCCACGAGACTCACCTGCTGACGGTGGCGACGTTGGAGTCTGCGAGATCCAGCAAGTACACCGCGACATCCTCGTCGGTCGTCAGGCCCAGACGCTTCTTCAGCGACAGCCAACGCTTACCGTTCGTCGCGCCGATGTGTACACGCTCCTCGGCCACTTCCGGAACGATTGTTGTCGTCGTTGTCGTCGTCGTCGTCGTCGCGCCGGGCAGCGTGATGCAGCTTCCCTGCGGCTGCTGCTGGACGCTTCTCGTGTTCCCCGGCTCCCTCACATGCCGCGTGCCCTTCTTCGGCATAACTACATCGTACAGCTTCGGCCGCAATCAGATCGGCTGCGAGGTAGAGAAAGAGACAGAGAGAAGAGAAGAGAGAGAGAGAGAGAAGAGGTGAGCGCGACAGGCAGACAGAGACGGGACGAATCCGTGACGGGACCCCGCGAAAGGGCACCTCCACCAGGAGGACGCGCACAGATATTATCCTATCCTCTTTATGCTCACCGCCGCGCCGCGTCGCCCACTCCGCCCACCCTCGCGCGCGCGCCGTCTCCCCGCGCCGCGCCGCCCCGCCTCCCTCATTGCCCCGCCCCCCTCCGCCCCGCCGCCTATCGTCGCCTCATACGCGTCCCGCGCCGAGCGGTAAACTCGCTCACCGCGTCTCTCTTTTTCTCGCACTCGATCTCTGTCTCTCGTCCCTCCTCCCTCCGTCCCGGCCATTCTACTTTATCGATCCCGCGGCCGCGAGACGCAACGCGCAACGCTCCCCGCTATCCGCTGATTCGACAACGGCGATGACTTTTGCGAGATCCGACATCCCGAGATGTCGATTAGGTCGGTGCGTTGAAAAAAATGTCGGCGAGTTTTCATGTAAAGGGTCGCCGCGCAACGCTACACGAGGAAAATGCCGTATGCGAGCGCTACGTCACGCAATTGGCTGTCGAGTGGAGAACTTTTTAAGGTTTCCGAGGATTTTTCTAGAGACCCTCTAATCAGAGTCACGAAATAACGTCAGTAAGATTGGGTCGGCAACGCCATGTTTTTATTAAAACCGGAAATATTTATGGCAAGAAATAAATTTAATTTGAATATAATATTTGAAATAAATAATAAATGACATGAATGAAAAATAAACTTTTATTTTCGTCTTAAATATTATACATTGCCATAGTTTTACTATCTAAATGTTTCTTTTTTTTTGTGTTTTTTACATGCAATTTTACATCTAAATACAGCGTATTTATTAAATATTTTCTTTTTTAAGTTGTGACAATCAGGTATAAAACTGTATTAAAATAAATAAGTATATTTTATTCAAATAACTTAGATAAGATGATTAATGTTAAAAAATAACCTCGCAGAGAAATGAAGTATTGGTTGGATTTCAATTTTTTCGTCCCACATTTGCTGCCCATTTTGCTCTTCGTTCTTTATCGCGTGGAAAAACTTTCATTACATATCCTTTTTCAGTTGAATTATTACAATTTAATGCGGAACAACCAGACATGTTTGTAATTTTAAACTATTTAGTAAAAACATGGCGGCACCAATCAAAATTGGGGACGTTATTTCGTGACTCTGATTAGAGGGTCTCTAGATTTTTTACTCGATTGCGCCAATCGTGCAGCGTGAGAATATCCCGTTTGACCACGTTGAGATTGGCCACGGCCAATTATATTGATCTGTGCCTAGGGTAACCAGCAATGATTAACCAATCAGAGAGTCCTATTTTGAATTGACCAATTGGCGACGTGGTCAATCGGATATCTTCCGTGCGGCGTTCATATATATAGTGGGTGCTTTCCAATTGTTTAACACATCTTAACACAAACATACACAGGAAGGCACAAAGTGTAGCGATGTGCACGACTCAATTGGAACAAAGTTAATGTGCGACTTTCGAGTGGAGGGTTAGGATTCTTCATAACCATGTCCATCTTGATATTTTTTAATCCATGCTGAGGGTGATAGCATCGATATATAAAATGGATTAACATACATAGATGTATATATATGCATAATATTATATAATATATAAATAATATATAAATAAAATATATAAATGCATATTATATTAATATATAAATATGAATGAAAATTTAATCAGTAATATATCTAACCTGCAAATATGCAAAAGAGACAATTTTATTTTATTTATTAAATATAATAAAAAAATTAATTGTACAAAAACTCATTAATTTGAATTACTTACTTCAATGATACTTTTAATATTTTTATTGTCCATTTTTGTATTTGTATGGTGTACTTTAATGGTTGTCTTTTAATTAAAAAGGATAAAACGAAAAGAAAATTGCCAACATAATCGCCGTCAGTCTGTAACCGCATATTTCATTTGTCCCTAGAAAACAGAAGGTTACACAAGTTGACTAGTAGCCCTCGAGCTGAGTACGGATGTGTAAAGTTGTGTCGGCAGTTACGGCAATTGGAACGCGACTTGTGTCGCCGTGTGCATAAAAGTGTCTAGGGATATCTCAATTGGAAAGCACCCCATGTAAACAATTCATGTAGACATAATTTTGAAATCGACGAACAACTCTGGATTATTCTGAAATTGCCCTGATGAAAATTATTTACAGAATTTTTCATAAAAATTTTCAGATTTTCTATAAAAATTCTAAAACTTTCTAAGAAAATTTTAAGAATTTTAAAATTTTCTGTACGAATTAGCACTTTTCAAAAATCTTCAAAAAAGGACTGAAGATATATTTTATACTTTTACTATAAATAAATTCTGTTAGAATATTTCTTATATATATAAATATTAAATATTCTAACAAGATTAATTTTTTATTCTATAATTTTCTAAAATTAAAATTCAAATTAAGATTAAATTAAGATTTCAATTAAAATTAAAGTTAAAATTAAGATTAAAAAACCTAAATAAATTTGGTATATTTTTTTAGAATTCTTCATAAATTTGAATTATGAAAAATTCCTAAATTTTCCAAGAAATTTTTTTTCACCAGGATGACCATCTAGTAATATATCGAAGTTTATGCCTGTGCGATCAGCTGGTCTGATACAGTGGCATCGGCTTGTCTCGCTCTCGAGAAGAAAACGATAGAAAATGTCGCGCAAGGCGATTAAGGCGATTAATTGGGCGGCGCTCGCCGAAAGGATTCCCGAGACGGAAAAAAATATGTTCGCCACCTTCAAAGCCAAGTCTGATCAGTATCTGCGACGGTCAGTAAATATGTGTATCATGTTTCTCGAGATTGTCATATGTGAGCTATTATATAACGCAATCAGAATGTTTCTTATTTTCAATGAAAATTACAGATTTGAATCTTGATATTATTAATAACATTAATATGGGTTCATATTGTTTATGTCATATTTGTAGAATGACTGCAAACCCAGAGGCGCCTCCAAAAATTGATTGGGTGTATTACAAGAAAAATATTGCTTTAGCTGGATTAGTCGATAAATTTCAGAAGGACTACGAATCCTTTGCAGTGCCATATCCAGCAGACAAATATACCTCGCAAATCGAGGGTCAAGAGAAGGAATTGGTAATAATTGCGATTACAAAATGTTACATTTGTCATTTTTTTCTAAATTATGGATGTATTGCAGCATGCTAAAATTCAGCAATTCATCTCTGAGTCGAACGAACGCATTGACACTGCTAGCAAGGAAATTGAGAGAGTAAAGGGTTTATTACCATTCTCTGAAATGACTATGGAAGATTTCCAAGAATGTTATCCAGATGATGCTGTAAATAACGATAAACCAACAGCCTGGCCGCACACACCTGAGTTCCAGCCAGAAAACGATCCAGGACGACCGGTACATCATTAATATAGAATGTGCTAAAAATGGTCAAGATGTAAAATGTAGTCATACTTCTAGCATACTCAAAAATGTATGTTAAATTGAAAAATAATTTTGTCCTTTATTTCTGTGTTGTCATCATATGCATCTAAAAGTAAATTTGCATCTATAAAAAGATATGTCAATTTTTTGTATAGAAGACAAAACCTTTACATATATATTATATGCATTTAAAAGTAAGAAAAATGAAATGATACAATAAGTGATTTAATTTAAATATATGAGGTAATTTTGCAATAAGTAACTTTCATTTGATTTAATAAAAATTCAAATTCTATTTACATACAATTGGTAAGAAAATTCATATATGAGTTGGCAAATAAGTTCGTTCGGTTTTTGAGGGTGGAATAAATCACAATTTTCTTGATATACAAAATAAATTTTAATCATTTATATATTGACCATTCTTATTGATGACCTCTTGCCATCTTTCCACCAACTTCATTATACCGCGTTCGTAGAACATCGGGGTCCTATCAGCGAAAAACCAATCCAGATGTTTTTTGACGATCTTCACGTTATCGAAAGTTTTTCCGTTCATGGAGTTCTGCAACGGTCGGAATAAATGATAATCAGAAGGAGCCAGGTCCGGTGAATACGCAGGATGAGGCAAAACATCCCAGCCAAGACTAAGCAATTTATTCCGAATGGTCAATGACGTATGCGGTTTGGCGTGGTGGAAGACGACATCTTTGCGATTTGCCAATTCTGGACGTTTTGTGCGGATTGCTTGGTCCAATTTGGTTAACTGCGAGCAGTATACGGTTGAATCAATTGTTTTGCCTGACGGTAACAGCTCGTAATGGATGACACCTTTATAATCCCACCATACGGAGAGCATGATCTTCTTCGGATGCAATCCCGTTGTTTGCGGCGGCTCACTGCTGTGCTTCCTTTTACGCACTACATAATCGTAGACGATCCATTTTTCATCTCCCGTTACCATCCGCTTTAAAAATGGGTCGTTTTCTTGACGTCTTTGCAGCGAATCGCATATGGATATGCGAGTGGCTAAGTTGGTTAATTCATGCGGCACCCAAACATTGAGCCGAGAAACGTATCCCACCTGGCGCAAAAGTTTTTCGGCCCTTGTATGGGATATGTTAAGTGCTGTTGCAATCTCTCTCACCATTTGGTATGGATCTTTATCGATTATGGCCTTGACATTGTCTGAATCAATCTCGGTCGGGTGACCAGAGCGGGGTGCATCATTGATGTCAAAATCTCCAGAACGGAATTTGGCAAATCACTTTCGGCATACGCGTTCTGTTAAGGCATCATCACCATATACACGACATATCTTTTTATATGAGCCTCCGCAGCTCGTTTACCTTTTTTAAAATAATAGAACAAAATATGACGATAATGCACTTTATTTACTTCCATCTTTACAGCTACGCAGCACGCACACTACTAATGTTTGTTAAACCGAAATTCATAGAAAGGTTAAGCTTAACATGACCTTTCAAATGCGCAATCGAGTTGTGCGCTTGCGCCGAGAACAAAAAAAGTGAATCGGAATGAATCTGTATCAAAATAAAAACCGAACGAACTTGTTTGCCATATATACATAAATGTATATTTATTTATAATTATGTATATTAATATGTATTTAATATTTTATATAATTTAAAGTTTATATATGACTCACTCGACATTAATTAAAATCAAAATCAAAACGCTGTGTAAATAAAAATCGTACAAATTATTATAATAATCACTAATTGCAATAATTATAAAGAACAATTGCGTTTTGAAGGATTGATTCTCGACGAACAACTCGAGTCTTCCCGCGAGAAGTCAAAATTGAGTTCGAATGACGCGTGACGCGCGTAAACATAATATAACAATTCTTTTAAGAAAATAACCAGTATATTGAAACAGTCACCAACTAGTCAATTGATCGGTTTTTATTTCAGTAATTAAATCGGTAAAACTGTTTCGATATACTAATTACTTATTTTAAAAGTTTATTTATTGTTGTGCCGCGATGTTAACGTACGGAATAAACGGAATACATTTGTAAGATACAATTTTAATATTAATAAACAGTTGATTTGAATTTTAATATTAATAAACAGTTGATTTGCTCTTTCCATTATTCGAAATACTCGATTATACGATTGGAATATAATTAGAATATAATTTCGGAACACGTGTTTCACGTGATGCGTTCATTTAATTAAGCAATTAAAAAGAATCGAATGCAATTAAGAATCGATGTGTGTGACCGGAATCAAAATTATAAATTATCATTTTGTTGCAATCCTTAGGAGCAATAATTATTCTTCTATTAATATTTATAATTAAGAATATTTCGTCCGATGCTTTATCATATAATTATTTGATGATCTAGGGTACGTTCCAAAACGTACTCTCCGAGGAAAATTTTACTCGATAGCCGTTCCGAAACTCTTTTAAGCGTTTCCGATTGGTTCGAATCAGCCATCGAGTAAAATTTTCCTCGGTTACTTGCGTTTTGGAACGTAACCCTAATATATAATTCGACTGAGAATGCGTAGTAAAACGATGGAATAGCAAAATCGAACAATTAACATAACGGAAAGCTTTGTGAGATATATTAATCGTTTAATAAATAATTAATCTGTATGTACGTGTGTGCGTGAAATTAAAAATATACTTGTATATAAATTTAATTCTTATATATATACGTCATAGTACGCGTGAAATATTTCGACAGCGAGGTCAATAACACGACGTTAGGCCTTGATGATGTAGCGCTGTATTGTTTATATAGGCGAAGATCTTGTATCATTCGCACGGCGATATTCTAGTAGTAAAGTAGTGATATGGAACACTTCGTATTATTGAATTCTTTTCTTAAATGTGCGATCGCGATTAATATCGAAATATAATTCGCTACGACTATTACAATTAACAATTAATTAACTCTTAATAAATAACATAAAATCATATGGCGATGATACATCCATCAAACGCGATCCTTTATTATTCCAAATAAAAATTGAAGCAAAAGAGGCAAAAATTATAAATACATAGACGACCTTGTATTATTCACACGACATTCCAACGGTAAAGTAGTGAGACAAAACGCTTCGTATTATTGAATTCTTTTCCTAAACGCGATCGCGATTAGTATTGAAATATAATTCGCTACGACTATTACAATTAACAATTAATTAACTCTTAATAAATAACATAAAATCATATGGCGATGATACATCCATCGAAATGCGATCCTTTATTATTCCAAATAAAAATTGAAACAAGAGAGGCAAAAATTATAAATACATAGACGATCTTGTATTATTCACGCGGCATTCCAACGGCAAAGTAGTGATATAAAACGCTTCGTATTATTGAATTCTTTTTCTAAACGCAATCGCAATTAGTATTGAAATATAATTCGCTATCGATTATTGTAGAGCGAATATTTCTCTATCCTTTATATGATATATTAAAGTGTGTTTCTCGTAATTATTCCGCGATCGGGAGTGCCGTGCAAAGTGATTATCATCTGCTATGGCTCTTAATCGCTAATTTTCTTGTCGTGTTGTTTAATACATATAGAGCCTAATTCCTTTCAATTTAAATATAATTAATTGTTTTTTCGCGAGTGAATATCAGTGCTATGAGGAAACAGCAAAGGATGAAAAAGAAAGGAGGACATCTGGAAAAGTATCCGCCAGCCAGAGAGCAGTGACAGAGCCTGAAGCAGCCAGAGAAATATGCGGTGAGTAATTTATAAAAATTATTTATTATTTACATAAGTTATTTTCAAAATAGATATATTGCTTATTATTTTTTCATTTTCTCGATAATATATATAATTCGCTCTAAAAATCACAAAATATAATGCATGTATAAAATATTCCAGGCTTTATTTTAACACATTTGAAGTATCTATAATAAAGTATCCATAATATTTTTGTTATTAATTTATACTTTTATATAGAAATATGTTAATATTTTGTATAATATTTTTAAAATAATATAATTATTTAAATATTTCATATTTACATAAAAATTAATATGCTCTTCTTATTAAAATTACATTTTTCAAAAATTTATAATAAAAAAAATATTTTTTTGCTAGTTTTACATTTAAAATATTAATATTAAAGATAAATCTCTCTTAACAGATAAAAAATGTGTGCAATAATTAGTTTTACAAAAAATGAATTATTTTGAGATTTATAAAGAAAGATCTATAAGAGTATTAATTGATTATATTTATATTTAATTTTTGACGTATTGATTTAAAAATAAAAGTGTGTGACAAGAATTAAAATTATATAAATTATCATTTTATTTTGATTTTTATAAGAATAATTATTTCTTTAACGATTCTTAAAGATTAAGTATGTTTTATCTCTCATTCAAGTTTTTAACAATTTCAATCTCAATACAATTTAATCTCAATACAATTGAGAACGCGTGATAAAATGATAAAGTATAGTTAGTTTTGAGATATATCGTTTAATAAATAATTAATCTATACTTTAAAATACTCATATAATTTATTCCACGCATATACACATGCAAGTCGTAATACGTAAAATATTTCGGTAATGTACTGTCAATAACATATATAAGGTTCGACATTGTCTTAATGATATTTTCACTGATTCAGTGTAACACATTATATTTTAAATTTCGACATATATCTTATCTTCGGTCAATTTTATTCTTATTTTACGGTCAATTTTTATTCTTATTTTACGTGTATACAAGAGTGGAAATAAATAAAAAAGAGTTAATAACAGTCATGTATTAACAATAACGTTGTTAGAAAACTGAGATTAGCAGTAATTTGATTAATAATGATTATACATCAGTAATTTTTTTATCATTTATTCACATTTCTGTTAATTAAATTTCAATTTTCTTTTAAATGAAGAAAATTACATTCATTTATCGTAGTAAAAATTAGTATTACTAATTATAATTTATACGTCATTTTTAAGAAAATAAGGTAAATATATATTTAAAACTTAATTTTTAATTAAATTAATTTTAAAATGCATATTGTATATTTTTTTTATTATACTATATTCTGCATACGATTTTCACATAATGTTTTTTAGCTTATTTTGAACATAACGTTGAAATTAAATTTTGTCCTTCGAAGGATACA